GCTGGGGGTGGAGGTGGTCCGTATTCGAGGGCGGGGGCGAGGACAGCACCCAGAGGGAAGGTATCCGCAACGGCGACGGTCGCCACGGAGGCCAGGAGTAACAAAAACCGAAACTGCACCTGTAGAATGAGAAGCAAAAATAGGCTGTCAGCTCCTATTTATACTGATCTAGGATATCGAGATCTCCCTAAATCATATTTAAGATGGATTGAACTACATTTTGCAATTAGGAACTATAAGTTCCGGTCCGGTTTAAAAACAACGTATGTGCCATTAGTTTCCCTATGCACATAAGTGTTTATTCAGATGTGAGTCAGAAATTATAGGTCCAAATTGCAAAATGCAGTCCAATTGAGGGTTTACTGGGCTCACACAAATCTACATATTATGAGTTCCACACAAAAGCCTGTCTAACAAGTCTCAGAGCAGGTGTTGTATCACCTATTTCCGATCATAAACATAGGATTGCAAAAACTTTTTGAAAAGATTCATAACTTTTTTTCATAAAAATAGTCTAGTTAGACTATTTTTATGAACGTCTTTAATCTAAAGCAGAGACCAATATTGACTTCTAATCAAAATATTTTTCCCAATCGTATGTGGGCGGTAAAAGTGCAAAAACGCATGTATTAGTTTGCGACGTTGCAAACTTCCTGTTACAATTTATTTTTTAAATGGAAAAACACTCAGAAACTTCCCCACTTCTTTCAATATTTTTGAAGAATGGTAATGAAAATTTCAAGAAATACGGTTGATTCCCATAGATTGAGTGAAATAGGAATGGTCATTTTAAACATTTCAAAATGGGGCTAGAAATTGACCAAATCATGCAGAAATAAACTGAATGCATTTTAATGTTCATTCTTTTCTAATTCGCAAAAGTGTAAACAGTTCTAGCCGTTCTACAGAAAATTATAATTTAAATAAATAAAATTTAATAAAAAAAATAAAAAAATAAAAATGATATGTGAATAAAAGATGAAAACTAGTGTGCTCATTTTTTTCGCAGTACCGCCCCCTTCCCCCATAATCTAAAAATTGTATGCCTACTTAAACGTATTATAAGCGTTTTTCTGCTAAATTTAGTCTAACCACTCAGATCTCCGTTCCCTCTTCATACGTAGTCAAGGAAATCTCAAAACTCCTGGGGGAAAAAAAAAGATTAGGGATGATAAAATGGACCGCATTTAGCAGAAAGGAACCAAGCGACATCAGCTATTGCGAAATTAAACGGAGCAATTTAATTGTTTACAAGAGAACGTTTGTGCGGATTCCATCGACAATCATGAAAAATTTGCTTCGTACAATGCAGAAAATTCACTGAAATTTGCAAAAAGAACCGCACTACTGTTTTCATATAAAAAATTGAACTTCCCGATTAAATTTGACAATCGCTGGTATGGTTCGGTTCCATCCTGCTTAACACGGTCCAAATCATCATCTGCTGGACATCATGAAGAGATTTTGAGACTTACCATAATGCTGTTGCTATACTTGAGAGAGGAACTAAGAAACTACGCTGAATTCCAACTTTGAATTGGTTTTTATATCCAATGAACCTGCTCAAAATTGAGGGGTGTGAATTTTAATTGTTGCATCTAATTATCGGGGACCTAGAGGATGTGATCGCCCGGGGATGCTGGTACGTTTTCGTTTCCACTTGAGATAATTTATTTTTGACAAAATCGCGAGATCTTAGATAATACTCGCGGTACCCAACGCCCGCCCAGAGCGGATGCAGGGCGGTAAACAGTTCCGACGAGACATCTAATTAGTAGTATTGATGACTAGTATTGATGTTTGTTCACATTTCCTAATTTTGTTGTATACACGAGGAGAAAATCAGTGGAAAGAGATCCGCTTCGAAAAACGAGCTGTACTATCGAATTAGGTTTTCCGGTTTGCAAAAGTTAATCCTAAAATGCCAAAGTCAGCACAATATGTTTTTTCTTAAGCCAATGGCGGTCATGTGTACACCATTTTCATCGAAAAATCGCACAGCAATGTCCGCCGTCATCGGGAATGGAAATAATTCATATTGTGCTTCAGGAAGAAAAATACTGCGCTTCAGAATTAATGAGCCTCCTTAAAGTTTCCGCAAAGTGTATGAAAAAATGTGGCTTCACGTCGGAGTAAAAATCGTCATCGCATCACTATCATGGCTAGTAAAGATTGAAGGTAGTAGCTAGTTTTTAAAACAACCAAAGGTGTCATGAAATCATGTTCCATGATTTCAACTAACGCGTGGTCCAGAGTAAAGATATTTGTGCGTTAAAATTAACAAAAATCGTGCATCATAAGGCACGCGTTAACGTTCATGGCGGTTATCGTAAGCCCGCCTAAATTTCTCTTATACACGTGCTCTTTTTTCGGTGGGTACACAGTTTCAAAAATGTTAATTGCCACAACATATGCTCATCTCTTCGAAATTGAAATGTTATTGATCACAGTTTAGAGGCTTTAACAGAGAGATATATGAAAAATTAACTCATTTGTTTATCAGGAGGAGTTTATTACTTTTGACCGATCGACACTGTTTTTTTAATATATTGAATACCAATTTTGTCTCAATAGAAATGAAAATTGTAAGTACGTTTCTTACGGGAGGACAATTTTAAGCTGGAGCTGTATAAACAAATTTTTTACGGATACTTTTTTCTCTCTTTTTTGGTACTCACTATAGTTTTTTTGTTTTGTATTATAATTTTTACATGTATTTATTTCTTGTCATTTTATATAACGTCTCAATTAAGTGAACATGTTATTGAACATTAGCTTAAAAATGTTTTGTGAAGTAAATTCAACAAAAAGCTATGAAAACATTGATGTTCTGAACTTACTATCATGCATCTATCATGTACATATGAACTGTGTTTCAGATAAAAACGGCCGTGCCCCGGGAAATCAACCAAACATGCTTAGGAAAGGTTGAAAGAATGTAAGGAACGACCGGTCTTCCGATTATCGATTGATCAGTGGGCCTGACAACCAAACCACCAGCCATGATGTTCGTTCAAAGGGTTGTAGATGACTTCAAACAGAAGAAACTTCTGTCAATGAAGTTGATTTTCTTCGTTCAATCCTCAAGTGAGTACTTGTCACATGCAGATAGTCAAAATGCCAATGCAAATAGGTATTTTAATCGGGCATTTTTCCAAATGCCCAGGCGACTGGTCAAATGTTCATACTTTAATTGAAATTTTGATTATTTTGCAAATCCTAGAAAAAAATAATTTTTCGCTCTAGTAGGAAAGGATACTCTATAAAAATGTGCATCATCAGCAATTTGCCGAAAGAGAAATATTTCGGCTGATAGGCATTGCGAGCCTGGTTCCATTACATAATCTTACTTTTAATGAACAGCAAAAATTATTTTCGAGGATAGGCTTCAAATACATTCACAGTTCATCGAACTTTTTTTCGCACTGATTATACTCATCCAGTCTTTTGACTTTACCGGCAAAACAAACTGTGTTGAACGTGGGCGGTCCTAATTATTCGCGCAAGCCTATTGAAAAAAAAAAAATCAGCCGTGTGTTTGATAAGAAACATTTGGGCCGCGGAAAACATGCCCAAATGCATGTACTTGTGAAATTATTATTGATAAGTTTCAACTTTTTTCTTTGTCTCTCTCTCTTAATATTAGTTAAAATGCGCAAAGGTTTGCTTAATTTCAAATGAATGGCTATTACATATTGTTTGTCAATACCTATTGTAATGCACTGGACTCCATTTACCAAATTTACTCTAATTCTGCTCTTAGATTCGTAAATATGACACACTGTAATTATTTGGCATCAATTTCCTTTTATCTTTTATTCCACCATTAAATAAACTTTTTTCTAGAGGAAATTTAGAGTCAGAAATACTTTCAGAGGTTTTTTTCATTCGATATCCGGGTGATAAAAATTAAACACTGTTTATAGTTCCATCAAGCCAAAAATTAAGCACTTAGTTATTTCAACAGTTCACTAGGTTTTTATTAATGTCATGAAGTTTCATCGATGCCTGTAACGCATCTCCATACCGTTGAAGTTACAAATATTAACCTCTCATGTCCTCTCGTAGTGCGAATGTACTAAAAACCGTGAACAGAAAGTTGAAGACCAAAATAGAAGCTATTGTAAATTTTTAGCAGCCTTCATGTAATATTTTCGAACTTAATAGCTGCATAGTTGAAAGTCCTGCGATCTAATTGAATCTCATGTTCATATTGCAGCTCTTTTTGTCCTGTACCCATACCTGACGATCCACATGCGAGAGTTGGGTCTAAATGTGGAGGAAACAGCAATCATGTCTGCTCTTACGCCCATTGTCACCATTATCATGCCTCCTATCGCTGGAATGATCGCAGATTTCATCGGGAATTTTAAGGTAACTATGGTGCTTTATTCAGTCATTTGAGAAAGTCACCTTATTCCTTTCGTGGTCCAGGTAGTTTTGGCAATGACATTAATATCTTTGTATGTCACTTCTGAAATTGTGACGGGACAGTTGGTGAGGATGGTTGGATGTGTCTTAGAAAAAAACAAATAAATTTCCATTCCTCCCGCGATTACTTTCATTCCTGATGTTTACACCAAATTGGAATGCCACTACGCCGCGCCATACTGTCTTCGTGAGTTATACATTTATAAAGGTCAGGAGATTACAGCTCTACTAATTTTGTAAGTGGAATTATGTGACGACCATTTCGTTGCCATCCGCAGTATCCGTAAAGAGCCTGTCAAAAATGGCATTTCAATTCCCTGGTCCCAAACATAATCTAATCTTCAATAAAGTATAGAATAAAGTCTGGTACGGGTGGTCTAGAATTGTAATGTCAACAACAGTCTGAATCTGGGAGTGACGTGATGTTGTGACGTCGACTGATATATCGTGCCCCATTAACAAAATATTTGTAAAACATTGATTCAAGTTGTTTTCAACCGAAGAATTTCAAATTATAAGCATTTTTCAATTTAATTTTTCAAACGTTAAGTGCGTAAAGAATGAAAACGAGCGTGAATGTGGAATGCTTTTATTACAAAAATAGACTTAATCATTAGGTTAAGTACTACGAGTTATAAACATTAAAACATTTGTAATTGACACCCTCGTAAGGGGTGGTTGTACATCTTTGGAAATTAATGAAAAAAAAGAAAGAAAAAAAAGTCAAGTACGACGGGGCGGGGCTTCTTGTGTAAATACCTCATTGTCAGTCAACATGAGCAATGCATTCAATGCTGTTGGTGTCGCAACGTATTGATACAACTATTCGCACTTTATGGACACGCGTGTTGCATGCAGAATATAGAAGGCACTACGGTCACTCTTGTCCATGAAACAGTGCACGCGGCAGCGTGTGGTGCCCAGGCGCCCTGCCGCGCCAGGACAAGGAAGGATATTTGGACCGCGTTAAACAGAAAGGAACCAAGCCACGTCAGCTATTGCCAAATTTGATCTGGCAATTTAATTTTTTACATGAAAACGGCTGTGCGGATTTTTGTGCAAATTTCTATGAATTTTCTCCATAATACAAAGCAAATTCCTTAAAATTTTCAAAGGAATCCGCACAAGCGTTCTCTCGTAAACAATCTAATTCCCCTGTTAAATTTGGCAATAGCTGATGTGGCTTGGTTCCTTTCTGTTAAACGCGGTCCATTTATTCACCAGTTTCACACATTAGGATATCACACCCTACCGCCACATCGAGCAATGATAGCGCGTCGCTGCGACCACTGCTTAGTGGGCTAGAATGACCGGAGCGCCTTCAATTTTTAGTATGCAACACGGATGCCCATAGAACACGGATAGTTGCATCAAGTCGTTATTACCGATATCATTGTTCTATGCTCGGAAAAAAATACCGAAGCGTTAAGGGGGGATCATCGTATGAACAAATGCCATACTTGCCAAATTTCCTCCGGTTAAATACAAATTATCTAATCAAAAAATTTGGATCGCATTTAGCAAAAAGGAACCAGGGCGATCACAGTGTTGTAAAAATAGTTGCTTCCTCATAATTATCTAAACAATCTCCGAGAGTATCGAATTGTTTTGGCTTCCTACCAAAAAATGGTTAATTTTTAAGGAAAATAATTTTGTAAATTTTAATACTAGATAAAATAAGTATTTTTAAAAGAAAATGAGAAGTTGCACAATTTTGAAAACACTGCAGGTAATTGCGCTGGTTCCTTTTTGCTAAATGTGATCCACTTGGAAGCTCTCAGTTTTCAATATTTTGGATAATTTTCTGCGCAATTCAATCTAATGAGTCTGCAAACTTGAAGGGAATCATCATCATCATTAATATAAACTTCGAAGGATTCTGCCTTTTTCTATTTCACTCGAGGGGAAGTGTCCCCTCCCGGACTCTCTTCCCCACCCGGTGACTGACGCTGCGCTGTGCTGAACGGTTCAGCCTGAACCTTTCCCCTACGTCTGACCGTTCCCCACTCCTCTGTCAATCGAACCATATGCCACCGCTTACGTATTGTCGCTCGCCCACCCAGGTACTTAGCGGCCAGCGGTCAGTTGATGATAAATCTCGCTCATGCTCCTATGCAGCTACGCATTGATTACGCCAGCTAATTACTTTCTAATAATTAGAATTTCTTCGATAATAGTTTTCTTTATTTATTCGACTGTATTTTTTTCTCTGTTCTACTGTGATTTCCTTGGTTCTCTACTGTGTTTTTCCTAAATATCCGAGTCAGAAATCTGAAGCACTTCGGTATGCACCGAGTACTTCAGATGTGTGACCTGAAACCTTCGGTATATACCGAACTACTTCAATTGTCTGACCCGAACTTCGGCAGATGGACCTTAACTTTTCGGATGCGTGATCCGAAAACTTCAGAGATCCATATGATCTCAGCTTCGGGTTCCATGCACAATTTTTTTTCTCCGTGTTTCCTTTTAGGGGACGCAACTAAAATTTCAGTAAATTTTTTTCAGAAAAGTAAAGAAAAGAAGAAGAAGAAAAAAAAAGTGGCTAACGATGGTTCCTCACCTTCTCGTGGTGTTGGCTGTTTTTACTAAGTGGGAACCGTCCATTTTAAGATATAGTCTATTTCTTGCCCTGCCATTATTATTCTACAAGTTAATTGTGGAGTGAGAATTTCATAATGTTTTCTATGAAATCTTCAAAATATAGTGATTAAAAATTTGCAACTACTACAAAATCGGCTCGCGAAGCGAGCCGAATGTCACTCGCGTAGCAAGTGACCGGGGGTCCAGGGGGCATAGCCCCCGGCTAGGCGTGACGGGCGCGCGAAGCGCGCCCAGAACGGCTAGTATATTCATAATATTCCTCATATTTTCATAAGGGCTCGCGCGGCTGTCATGATCACCCATGATTCCTTCCGAGATTTGGATAAGAGAGCGTAGAATTTGATGTTGAGAGCACTCAGATTTCGCCTTTTGACTCAATCTCCCGCTGCCATACTGCCGTGCTAAGGAAAAATGCCGTATGAGCCTTCAAGCGTTGCCAAATTTCCTCTGGCAAATCACCAATTTTCAGGAAAATTTTTGAATTTATCTCCGCCAATGTCTCAGATAATTTTGTTTGTAATTTGATGGAAAGTGTCTGAAAATTCCAAGGCAAAATATTCACAATTTTCCTCAAAATAAACATTTTATCGAAGGAAATCTGGCAACTCTTGAATGTTCATACGGCGTTCATCCTTAACGCGACAGCATAGTTGACAAGAACAGTTTAGATCGAAGCTACTCGAACTCCTAATTCTGTGTTCAGCGAGGTGTTTCTCTAACTTTATTTCATGCCAATAATATGCCTCACTACACCAAACGGCAGCACAATGTTGCTGAAAGCACGGGATTTCCATATCAATGAGCCTGCATTTAGGATGCTTTCGGCGGTAGGCAGTGAATGTCTCGTTGCGATAGCGCCGGCCGCGCGGCGCCTGGAGGTGCAACGCAACGTTCCGGTCGTTAGATGATCGACGGATCAGGTTTGTCGCGGAAATCGGAGGAATTAAAATTTCACCAAACCTTGACCCGCTTCATCAAGCTGCCGCCCGAACGCACTGTGTCAAATCTGTGCTGAGTTTTCTTTGGCAGACGTGCCTACAATTCTCGTTTTACTCACACGCCTGTTCTACCGTGCTAAGAAAGAACGGCGTATAAACCTTCAGGCGTTGCCAAATTTCCTTTGATGAAGCGCAAATTTCCTGGTGAGCTTTTGAATATTTTTTTTTTTCAATTTTTCAGATAATGTTGTTTGCAATTTCACCTAAAGTTCCTGGAAATTTCAAAGAAAAATATTCATAACTTTCCTCGAAAATAAAAATTTTATCGGAGGAAATTTGGCAACTCTTGAATGTTCATGCGGCGTTCTTCCTTAGCACGGCAGTGATCGAAGAAGTCGACTTTAAGAAGTGCTCAAAGCAGTGGTCGTAGAATACGCTTATTTTTCAAAGGTGCCTTGACATATCAGGTATAAAGATAAAATATTAAAAATTCGGAAATGAAGAGAGATGAAACGAGGAATAGAACTACATTGGAAAAAGAGGATCAAAGAAAGAAATTCGTCTAAAATGCTTGATCGAAGCGTTAGATCCCCACACCATGAAAAAATTTCAGAGGCTCAATGAATTTTCCATTACTTTTCTTGCAACGAAAGTAGTTTGAGGCCTCGAAAGACGAGGTCCTGGCCAGTTTTAAAACACTTCATTTTTTAGCTTTTTTTCACTGTTCGAGTCAAGCATTTGTGTTCTTTCCGCTTTCTGTGCACTCTTGAAGTGTCAATTTGAGATTCTCCATTCTTCTTCTTCTTCTTCCGTGTCCGATAGCACCAATAAGATTAAATTAGATTTTCCCTGACCAGTAATTTGCAACATAAATTGCTTCGTCATTTGCACTAAAAATATCGTCCCTTGTGCAGGTTTTAGTCATGTTAGGGCAGATTAGAAGGTGGTTGTAGTCTTGCTTTGCCCCACACTCGCATAGTTCGTTCTCAGCGAAACCCCACCTCAGCAGGTTTGATTTACACCGTGTTACAGCTGTTCGTAACCGATTAAGAGACTTCCACGTCCCGAAGGTCAGGTTAAGGCCAAGAGATCCCTCCTCTAGTGGTTCTATCTTCGAGTGTGGTACTGAATTTTTCCACAAGTTCAGTCGCCGTTCTTTCGGGGTTGTGGAGAGTTCTTCCGTGCAATCAATGAAACTCTTGCGAGATTTCAGGCGGACCCGTTGTCTTTGATGCTCATGCAAGGGGTGTCTCGGGTCATTCTTCTGTTTGGTTCTTTCAATTTCAGCGGCTACCTGCCTTCGGATGGGAGGTGGCGCTATCCCTATAATAGGGTACAGTTCCTCAGTAGGTGTTGGTTTGAGGCATCTTGTGGCAATGCGTGCGGTTTCGTTTACGGCGATATCCACCTGTTTGGCATGTGTAGATCTACCCCAGACTGGTGCTGCGTATTCCGCTGCCGAGATGCTGAGTGCCAGCCCTGTAGTGCGTAGAACATGAGGTTCGGCTCCCCATGTCGAACCTGTCAATTTTCTCACAATGTTGTTCCTAGCAAATACTTTTTTCTTTGTATTATGACAATGCTCCTTGAACGTCAGTGTTCTATCCAGGGCTACTCCTAAGTATCTAGGGTTATTTGAGTGCTCTAGCTGTTGCCCCTTCCAGCTTACTCGAAGTTTTCGGTTAGCTAGATTCTCCATTGATTGATGATCATGATTCTAACATTGAGACCGAAAAAGGGGGAAAAAGTAAAGCAATACCCCCTTCATTTTATTCAGAAGATCGGTATCGGTCCCAATCGCACAGTAACTTTCTAATGGTATTCTAGTCATAAAAAGGACAATTTTGAAACCTTTCCATAACACAGCGAGATAAATAGGAGACAATGGACCAGGTTATAGGACATTTCGTCAACGACTTTTTCCAGTAATTTACGTCCACGCGTTTTTTCGGTACGGTAGTTTTGGTCCACGTGCCAGTTGAGACACTTTAATTGGTCCACATGAAAATACAAACTACAATAGCTCACGACGTTTTTGGATGAAAATGTATAATGTCATGGAAGAATGAGGGTTTTCTGGTTTTTGTTTGTTTGTTTGTTTGTTTGTTTGTTTGTTTGTTTGTTTGTTTGGTCCAACGGAGAATAATATATAATTGAGATTTTTGGTAAAAATGGGAGAGCGTTCATTCCATGACACAAAATTCACTACAACTCTCTACACCTCTTTGGTGCAACAGGACTTAATTATCTTTCAAGAAATTCCCACCTCGTTATACCTGAACTGGATAAACCACTTGATTTGCCTCAGCTAAAGGCTCTTAAATTTTTCCTGTGTACGATAAGTATCTTGATTTATTTTGCGAGGAAAGATCTGTATTTTCAAAGGATGCCTGTCATTCTTAATGCGTTGAATTTCGTATAATATTGCACAACACCTCTGTTGTGAAATAGTTGCATCAGGCGCTGCGCCGCCGCACGGCGGGCAGGCGGCCAGCGCGAAACGCGCATTGGTGCCTACAAACCTAAGTGGATACCTCAAGCAGTGTGCAATGCGTGAAGTATCCACTTAGGTTTGTAGGCGCCGGTAAGCCTCTCGCGCTGGCTGCACGCCGCGGCGCGCCGCTCCCCTCTGTTAGGCTTTAATACTTATCCTTGCATAGTTAGCGTTTTTTAACTCATGATTTTGAAATGTTTGCACACTCTGCATTGATTATTCTCATTTAAATTGATGAAAAAAAATATGTATCAATTAATCAAAGGAGAATAATAATATAATGTGTGTTTTTTAAATATTGGTAGTTCCGTGTTAAATTTAATGATTTCCAGAGCACTTTACTTTTTTCTTTTACATTTTGTGCTTTCATTGTGCTGAAGTGAGGTAGACAAAAAATCGATGACAAAACCACCGTGAATTCAAACCACCCGCTCATGAAAACTCAATGCTCTACGCGATTCACATCGCGCGCTAAACGTTATCATGACAGTCTATGCGATGTAAAAATCTGGCAAGCTCAATCTTGACGCTTTGGCTCATCCATAGCATTTTGCTTACAGTTTATATATAGTTATAGTTATAGTTTGTTCAGTTACAGTTTGCTTATAGTTAAACAACACATAGTGGAAAATGAACATTGCTCGATTGAGAAGCTTGCTGAAATTTAACCGTTGTTGTGCGCGATTTGACTCACGTAGAGCTTTGAGTTTCTTGTGAGCGGGCAGTTCAAATTCCTCCTAACCAATTTGAAATAAAAAAATTAATATCTTCGTTAGGAGTTGGTTTCAGTAATAATCGTTGCGCGAATCGTGTTTTACGTGAAATACTGGTTAAAATACATGTATCGGATTGCTTAAATTGGCACCTTGTCTAGTGATCCATTCTATCGTTTGCATTTTATTTTTTTTATTTATTTTTTTTATTTATTTATTTATTTATTTTTTTTTTAAATTTCTCCGAGATGACACAACTTTTTCACACAACAATTTAAGACGTATCTAAAACATCATGACACCAATAATTGTGCTTGTAGGGTGCATCCTAATGCTCTGTAACCCTTCCATAACTAATGTAAGTTTTGTGTTACAGGTACTACTGGCACTATTTTCTGCGCTGGGTGGACTGGCTTCTCTACTTCTGTTAGCCATTCCAGTTGGCCGTGTTACGATCGTTTATCCAGAGCAGGCCTTGTTCCGAATCGGTTGTTCCAACGACACCGGTAAGTCAAGGTAAATGCAACATGTATCAGAAAATTCTCAAAATATATTGTCCTTTTTCTAAGAGTTTTCCCTGAAATAAATGAATAATTCGTAAAAAAAAAAAAAAAAAAAAAATGTATTTGTGAAAACAGAACGATGGTGAAACTATCAAACCACGTATCTCGGTTTGCGATGTTGCAATTTCATTGTCATGCTTTATTTTTTCGATAAATAACTACTCAACGCCCATTTTTAAAAATTTCTGTATTTTTCTTCTGTAAGCGAAGCAAATACTGAGAATACTTCATTGAGTGATCAGTGATGCTGATTTTTTTCTCCTTTAAAAAATCAAAAAGAGGCGGGGATTTTTAAACACGGCAGACGGGATACGTGGTTTGAGAGTTTGGCCGTCGATAAACTAAAAAACTTCGACGATCGAATTAAGAACGTAAAATTTGAAAATTTATTAATTCCAAGCCACAAAAAATGTTTTGAAAAAAAATGACCCGTCACAAAAATGCAAACTTTGCAATGCTGTGTCCCTAAAATGAGCTTTGAACTCAAGCTAATACTTTCTAAAAGGATTGTCTTAAAGTAAGGTTTTGTATGTGGGATGGATTTGACCAAAATCACTATGCGTTTCCAAAAAGGGGCTTTTTTCAGCAGACATTTGCAAAAACCAGCTATGTATGCACTCAGCGAGTTATTAGAATACACAAACCAAGCGACGTTAATGTTTCAGTGGGCATAGGTCATCATTCATTGTTTACAAACACAGGCAAATTCTAAAAATATTTCGTTCTTTTTCCGAGTGCACTTGCGTTTTTTAATCTCGTCCACAACATCTCCTCTGGCGATGTCAGCGAAACTGTACATCGACGGTGAGACTCCCGTATCGCCTATCTCGGTTTGCGACGTTGCAGATTTCCTGTCAAAATATATTTTTCAAATGGAAAAATATTCAACGGCAATTTTTAAAAATCGCCATGGTTTTTCTTCTCTGTGCGAAGGAAATTCTGTGAAAACTTCAAGTGATGATGTTGATTCGTTCTCCTGTAAAAAAATAATTTGGAAGCGGAGATTTTTAAACACCGGATGTTGAGTTAGTGGTGTTGTATCTGGAGAATTAAAGAATGTAATTACAAGAACATTGTAAAGATTTTCATCAGAGATGAACGTGGTCATGCTATATTTCCTATTTGATATTTTACCAATTCTCCGCGGCAATTCCTTCTTTTAGAGAAAAAAAGAAGTTTGTCACAGTTTCGACGCTCCTTGTCAGCATCGGTGAACAATTTTTATTTTTTTTTTTTTTTCGTTGAAAAAATGTGCTAACTTTTGTGCTAAGAAAGTGTTTAATTTGTCGTGCAGGGTACCCCAGTCTAATCCCCGGAGCTGATTATCCTTGCAATCCGTTCCCGAACGCTACTAGTTCTCCTTATGAAATTGCTGGACATGTCGAAGCATGTGGGCTGGTGTGCAGACGGCCAAATAGTTTGCGATCCCCCGTGGTAAGTTGCCTAACTTATTCTCAACGGAAGGTGCAACAAGAGAATTTGATCGCATGTTACATCAAGTTCACAAAATAAATTTCTCAGTCTCTATACCAGTGGCAGATACAGGGATCAGTGGCGTGGCGTGGATTGGGTTGTATCGATTGTCGTGCCATTTAAACCTATTGTAAAGAATCTATTATTAAGGTGTTCGCTGCGAACACCCTGATTATCGATCCTTTTCCATAGGTTTAAATGGCATAACAATCGATAAATCGCAATCCACGCCGCGCCACTGACAGGGATAGCTGGGGAGCCCTACTGATGCGGATTGGGGATCTGAGGGGACAATCCCTGAGAACAGAAAGGCCTCGAAGCCCCCCCCCCCCACGAAATATATTTTCAAAATTATCCCTCCTATATCAGATTTTAAGCAATTTTAGTTTACGATTTGTGAAATATTTGAGAGTTCAAAATCAACAGATTCGTGCCACTGAGTAGGTACAAATGTTTGACACGTCTGCTGTTACTTCTCTTTAGTAATTGAACTATTTGTCACTTAGATGTAAGGTATATAAGTGAAAATAACAAACAATGAGAACTACAACAACAAGAACAATGAGGCGTTAGCGCAGGTCTTATGGCCTCGATAGACGATCAAATTCCCGAACCAATTCCGATCAAAGTAGCATCAAAATGTCGGGAGTCATCAGTCTTAAACTCATTACTTTGCTTCATTTTAAAATGGGAATTTGGCATAAATGTTTCCTGTGGCAGGAAATGATGAATGGTGGCACTCCGTTCTGATCTTACTTCGAACAAAAAAGTGCGGCCCGTCAAAATTTGATGGTAGATGGTGACCACCAGTCATCAGCATGTCTACTTAGATCGGAATTGGTTTGGAATTTGATCGTCTATGCAGGGCTTTAAAATCATATCGTGATCAATGTTTTAGGGGTATTGCTCTAAATCCCGTTCTTTCTCCGTTCGCCTTTTTCTTTCCTCTGTGTTTCAATTTGATTTGAAAAAGAGGTCTACTCAATGCTAGTCGGCCGCGCTATAAGCAGAAAGCAACCAAGACACACCAGTATTATCAAACTCAATTGGGCAATTTAATTTTTTACACGAAAACGGTTAGTTTGATGCAAATTGCAGTGAATTTTCTACATAGCACGCAGAAAATTCTTCGAACTTTTCAAAGGAATCTGCTCAATTGTTCTCTTGTAAAGTTTGGCAGTTCATGAACCAAACATTCTATTTATTTTCACCGTGTTTTTCCTCTTTTAATGACTAGTTTGTTCATGGACAGGAAGGTAGTTGGAGGACGCCTTCAGCAGAGACGCAGGCAATCCTGCGTGCACGCTCGTACAAGATGAAGCTCCTGCGACCCTCTGGCCAAGAGACGGTCTACGACTTCAACGTGGACGCAGAAGACATCCCGGCCTACCGGAGTCGGGTGCTGGATGACCCGGATCCGCGCAACGGTCGCATCCTCATCAACAGCGGCCGCTTTCCGACTGCCATCCGGGAGCTTTCGCATGACGTTTTCTTCTTCCCCGCTAGAGGGCTCTGGAGTCTTTCCTGTGACCCGGATCCCACGCGCGTCTGGCAGTGTCAGGTGAAGGAGGCGGGGAACTTGAGCAATTCGGCCACAGACGGGCAATTTCCATTTAGCGGCGTGCTCGACGTCCACGAGGAAGGGATGAAGCTTGTGGCTCTGCGCCGATGGGGGCTTCTCAAAGCCTCATCTTCTCCCCTTGAGGGGATCATGGAATCCAAATGCGGCAAGTCTAAGGTAAGTGTCAATTTTAGCTCTGAAGCACTCGAAGGCCACGGATATTTGTGATTTCGGTAGGTAATATTCTTGTATGAATTTTGTGAGACACGCGATCATGCCTCGGGTTTTCTTTGAAATAAACTCCAAAGCTCAAAGAAAGCTATCAGTGTTGATGCCAAAATGCTAGTAGCTTCTTCGTTTCAAGAGAGTCCACTCCTATATTTAGTCAAACTCTCCATGCACAGATTAGAAGCAAATACATTTATATGGACTTTTGAGAGCTTCAGGGCTGCAGACATGAAAATTCTGATGTATTCACTCCCTATCTATGCATTAAGAGTTTGATTAGATATAGGTAGAAGTGGAAAACAAGAGAATCCCCCCTAAGGTGTTCCAGAAAGGCAGATCCCCTCATTGAATGAATGCATCAGCACACTTTTTACTACCAAACAGGTTGCAACTTTTATGTACCTGAGGATGTAAAATTTAGTCACCGAGCACGTAAATTTTACACTTTCATGGACGTGATTTTCACGTCCGCAAGGTCGTAAAATTTACGTCCCCGAAGGCATCAAATTTACGTCCCCGAAGGCGTAAAATTCACGTCCCCGAAGGCGTATAATTTACGCCCCCGAAGTCGTAAAATTTACGTCCCCGAATTCGTAATATTCACGTCCCCGAAGTCGTAAAAATCACGTCCCCGAAGGCGTAAAATTTACGTCCCCGAAGGCGTAAAATTCACGTCGCCGAAGTCGTAAAATTCAGGTCCCCGGAGGCGTAAAATTCACGTCCCCGAAGTCGTAAAATTCACTTCCCCGAAGTCGTAAATTTTACGTCCCCGAAGGCATAAAATTCACGTCCCCGAAGGCGTAAAATTCACGTCCCCGAAGTCGTAAAATTCACGCCCCGAAGGCATAAAATTTCCGTCTAAATCACTCGGGTCGTAAAATCAGCGAAGTCAGTTGTTGGCGTAACACTTCTTTTTTTTCGGTGCGCAGCCTCCCCGAGTCAAGAGCACTTGATGAGCTTGGAAGTTTGTTTTAGAGGAAACAAGTGGTACCCTCGTGCTTTTTTGCGAAATTTTACATCGGGCAAAGTACTTACATCGAAAATCCTATTAGCATGCTAGGGTTGATTTTCCAATGAAAAGACGCCGCTGGTTCTTTTCATTGGAGAGAGAAAATCCCAGCAGAAAAGGAACGAAATAGAGCCTCATTTAGTAAACTGAACAAGCAAGCGCAAAGCGCGGAAGTCAGCTCTCCGACATAGCGCAAAGCTGTATGTTAAGTATGTACATGCTCGTTGGCATGAAGAATAGCCGACGTGAGACACTCTTATCGGCATCAAGATCTGTGCCGTGCCGACAGTGTCGTGCATAAACCTATGAAAAAAGATAGATTTTGTAGGTGCTTGCAACAAGCGTCTTAACAGTCGATTTTTCACCATAGCTTCAAATAGGAAAATATTGATCGTCAATGATTTACGCTTCACCACTGATCAATATCCGTGACTCGGCAGAAACGAGGAAGATTAAGCAGCGAAGTGTTGGTATTCTCTCACCTCATATCAGGAATCTCATATCACGGCGTCTCACGATTTGCGATCAATCGATTGAGCTGCCTTTTAAACCCACGGAAAAAGATCGATTTTCGGAGTGTTGGCGACGTATATCCCAACAATCGATTCTTCAACACGCCTTCAAAGGAAATAAATCGAAAGCTGATGATTGTGCGAGCGATGGAGATGGATGTGATTCAATCCCGCATGAAGAGAGTATCACCGCGGACAAATGACCATAGCATGTAATAATTACTCATTACAAGATTGACCTTCGCCGCAAAACAGTTGGCCACCAAGTGGTGGGCTCGGGAAAGTCGGTGCGGCGGGAATTCACGCAATCATCCGGCTGAAATGTGAAACCGGCGCCGTTTTGATTGAAATTTCCAGGTTACGGCCATTCCTGAAATTGTATGGATTCCAAGATACACTGATAAGTAACAATGATTCATTACCTGTTAATTCACTGGTTTATTAGATCTCAAGATCAATTCAGGACACGTCAGCAACCGTCATGAAACAATAGATGAGTTGGGGAAAAAATACTAAGTTCATTATTTTTGCAATGTACATTTAAATGATATCTCATAAAAATAGGATAAAAAATTAGATGAAAAAGTGCACTATAATGCTCGACAGCATTATAAATCTATAATGCGCAAGTGTGAGGTAAACTGAATAAAACCATATAAACAATAGGATTATTTAGCAATCGGGTGCCTCACCTATGACTTTTTCATTCATTGAGGTAGAACAGTTCCAAACTTTATTGATGTCCCGAGCTTCATGGCAGAAAATTTTTGGTCCCTTTGAAAGTTTAAAAGTCGGCCTTTCTTCCAGGGAGCGGGGGTGGGGGGAGGGTAACTTTTCTTCTAATTTTAAACTCAGTTATATGCCATCTTGTCCGGAGAGTAAAAAAAATAAACATTTTATCGGAAGTTGCGGGGCAAAGTTTTGAATTTTAAGAAAGTGACAATCGATGTTCAGTATGACGAAAATTTCTCAACTCCATTGTTTATTGACGTATAAGACTCAAATTCTCAGGGCTTTCAGGGACGAGGAAGATGATTAGACATTAGTTTTATAAAATCGGTTTCGAAATGACGTTCAAAGAGACGACCAAGAGTGGGCACTGGATATTGAGGCTGTTTATCAAACTGTTGTACGACGTACATTTAACTCGACCCGGGAGTTTTATGACAAGAGCAAAATGAATCTTTCATTGGAATATCAAATGCCGAATCTCTTCAAAAAGGCGGAACATCGGTACTACGACCGGCGGATTTCCATGAAACTCAGCTCAAAAATCCAATGCAAGATTCATTTTTCAAGTTACTTTGTAACTACTCCATCAGCACCTACCTCGATATGACCATGGAGTTTTGCTAGTCATAGTTTGTCCTCACGAGTATACGCTAACTCCTGAGGGAGAAAACAAATGCCAAGGCTCTTTGACCAGACGAACCGACCGTTCAGACGTCATTTTGCTCTTTTTTGCCCAGCCCTCGCTGAGGGGTGAAATGCTCGAACTCATGGTTTTAATTTCCTCGATTTTTTTTTAAATTTGTTTATTTTATTGTTCCAGGTGCCTTCCATGTCGGAAACATTGTCGGTGCCATTGTTGAATCCGGAAAACAGCTTGAAAGTGGACGCACTTCTAGAAATGGAAGACTGCGAGATGAGCTGTCTAGCGACGATCCCTCGGAAATCCATCTGTACCAACTTGAACAAAGTCGTCGAGTATGACCCTCAACTCACTTTCTGGGCGTATTTATCTGTTCGCGTCACCATAGCGATGATCACTGGCACTGCGTTCGCAATGTTTGAAGGTATAACAAACCGTTCACTGCGTGAGAGATGACTGGATGGAAGTAGAATCAAAAATCCAATTTGGAAAATCCTCGGCAATGAAGCTTTTCACAGGGATTCGCGATTTCAGTACTTTAACTCCTGGAAAATTTCGAGAGGAATACGAAATTACCACTGGTAACGAACTCTCAAGCTCAAAAAAGCTTTCAAAGCGGAGGTGCTAATCAAGCTCACTATGCACATTTAGAAAGCAAAAAAATACTTAAAAAATGTGGCCCGAACTGTATGTAACAAGGTGATAATATTGTGTGAGTCCACACGATTTTGCGAGGGAAACAAGGTCAAAAAGTTCACAAATTTCAATCAGAGTCAAAATTTCCAAGGCTTTAGTCATGGCAAACCTTCTGTTTACTATGCCTGTGTATTGACAGAGAGAGTCTCATAATTTCATTACATCACTAAATAGCGCTTTTATCGCTTTAAGAGACCAAGAAGTATATTCGTGGTCGAATAAGCTCATTAGGAAATCATACAATATTTATATTTCACAGACTGAGAGCCAATTTTTACATTTTGAGAGACTAGCCTATCAACTTAAACGTATTGTCGGGCACTATTATGCAAGATAATTTAATTAGGTGTCTCATATGATCATCAGTGTTCAATTTTCACCTGTGTCGAATTAATTGATAGCCTGAGGTGAAAATCTGAAGAATTTGAGACAGTGAAAGAGGAGAGCCGCTGTTTGCTGTTTTCCTCCATTTAAATCTATGTAAAACAATCGATTCTTGGTGAGACAGCTTACCAATCGATATTTTGAATGGATTTAAATGGAGGAAACACCGTGCTGCCAACTTTCAAAATCGCCACTGGCATAGTCCTCTCCTTTTTAAGTCCACGATGCACTCAGTGCTAATTTAGTTACTATACTTCCTTATCAACTGACTTAATTTTCATAATAACTACACTCCCACTCCCACCTCATACGGCATTATTTAAATTATTACCATGCTTGCCAAGATTCAAAATTCCTCGAAATTCCAGGTGCTGCGATTGCGATTTTACGAGAGGAAAAGGCTGATTATGGTTTACAACGACTATACGCACAGATCGGCGGCATGATTAGTTCACCAATGGCCGGGTACCTAATTGATTACGCGAGTAAAGGCAAAGGCTACACCGATTTCAGGTCCGTATCAAGTGATTTAGAAATGAGACTTATTTTAATGGAAATTTCCTTTTCTACCTAGAATTTTCTTTCTCCCCTTCCCCATTCTTCTCCTTTCGTCCCTTCGACTCTCCGCTCCATCCCTCTTCTACTTCCCCCCACTCTTTCTCCTTCCATAGACTCAGCGTTGAAATTCGTTCACAGTTTTAGTGGCAACAGTAGACTTGTCTTTTAATACTGCACATGACAGTAAAATAGACTTATGAAAACGCCTTCATTTTGAAAAGATACCAAGGAGTGTACATAAAAGTCGTGAAGTATGAACACTTTAACACTGTAAGTGATATTTAAAACATATATTGAAATTTGGTTTCCTGAGAGTGAACTTGTATCGTAATAGTAACGTATATTCTCGTCGTGCATGACATCTCGTGTGATGTTTTCCAAACATAAATTTTGAGTGAAAATTATACTATTTAATATTTTTAATTGAGTGAAAATTGTACAATTTAATATGTTTAATTGAGTGAAAATTATACAATTTATTATTTTTGATTGAGTGAAAATACCCAGAACTTTTTATGAATTGCATTTATCTGGTTTTTACAGGCCAGCATTCTATTTTTATGCGGCCCTTAAAACAACGACTGCATTCCTAATGCTTACAATAAATTTGGAGTTCAAGGCTCCGGCCAAAAATGTGGTGGCTGATGTGGTGGAAGTTCTCAAAAAAGTGGAAATTATGGCACTTCTGTTTGCAATATTTATAATGGGTAAGAAAACTTTCGACATTTACTTCAAACAAGACTCTGCCATTTTGATTTTACTCTACTTTCCTAAAAAGGATACGAAAGTCTAGTCGCCTTAATTTCCTGATACTGTCTTCAATCATCGCCCAAAAATGTAACCGCAACCAAAGTAGCAATAGTTGCAAGATTATTTTCAATTGGCATTACAATATCTTAAATTCTAATTCATTAATTATTTTCATCTGTGATCTCGACGAAATTCTAGAATTTACAGTATTACACAACAATTTAATAATCGAGACTTATAAAATTTCGGGAAATTTCAATTCTTGCTTTCTGTAACCAGATTCTCAAAAAAAAAAAAAAAAAAATTCATACTTGTCTGATTACCGTTCAGATTTGTTTAGGTGCTAATAGGCCTCCATCAAGGTATGAATAAACAGGTCGAGGATCAAAGGCATGAATTATATCTAACAACGTTTGTTTATGTTATACAGGTACAGCATGGGGTTACATAGAAAGTTTTCTCTTCTGGTTGCTTCAAGACCTCGGGGCCTCCAGAGTTTTGATGGGCTCAACTATAACTGTAGGTGGCCTTGCCGGCATGCCTCTGCTCATCATGTCAGGACCTATTGTTGAAAAAATAGGTCATGCTAATGTTTTATTCCTCGGTTTTGTTTTCTATGCAATCCGTCTCGTAGGTACGTTTCTTATGAATTTTATGTAAGTAATCTTATCGTCATTTTTTCCATCATTTTTACTTTGATTTTCAAGGTGGAACGGGAAATGTGTGCATGCGCGGCCGAAAAATGGAGATTTTCGATACGGCTCTACTATTTCTGGCTCATTTTAAAAACAATGTATGTGCCATTCCTCTCCATATGGATAAATGTAAATCAAATTTCAAGTACAGTTCCATAAATTTCCAAGAATTTCTTTAAAAATTCGTATTTTATCGAAAAGAAGTTGGCTAAAATTTGAACTTTTACGCATGAGAGGATGTATTCAATCAAAAAAAAAAAAAAAAAAAAAAAGGTTTCAAATTCGTCCCAGAAAAAACGCCGTAGAACTATGGCGTTTTAAAAAACGGAATAGACCATTATGTTCACGCTGTAAGAAAATATTTTTTTTTCAGTGAAAAATCTTGTGGAGAGTTTTGAAATTTTGGCCAGATCAAGAATGAAGGGTTTCCTCTCGCCCTAAAATTTTGAGACTTTTTTTAAAAAAAAAAAACTGCAACTTAGAGTCTCATTGAGAAATCCCTTCATTTTATGTCGATGTCTCTGAATGTTACCCTTCAGCTCGAGACGACTGAACGTTTCTTAAATTTATAAAACATCTAGAGTTTGCATTCCCTGACCAGGTTATTCACTCATTGTCAAGCCTTGGCAATGTCTGATTTTTGAGGCGATGGAATCCGTTACGTCGTCTTTGGCATTCACAGCTGCTGTCACGTACGCCGCCAAACTGTCTAATACATCGACAGACTCGAGCATTCAAGGAATCCTAGGTGGCCTTTATTATGGTGTTGGTGAGTATATCCATGCTTTTTATCAACGAGCCGTGTAAAAAACGGTCGACAAAAAAATTATTTGGACCACTTTGCACATGAAAGAAGAAACCTGAAGCATTTTCACTTATTGCACACTAAAAGGAATTAAAAAAATAAGGGAAAGGGAACGTGAACACGAAATTGGATGGGGACCGAAAAGTTGTATTGAAAGTTTTTGAATTACAAGTTTTACAAAAGATAGTTACACTACAAGATCATAGAGTACATAGAGTCGTAATGTAAATGGGAGAGCTGGCGCCATGTTCTGCTCGACGAATTCCGAGCCCGGTGTGCGCCGAGTTCGGGTCGCTTTTTCGATACATTTTCGATCCAAAATGGCGGTGTGGAATACGTGGTACCTATCTCTTTTGTTGTTGTTGTTGTTGTCATCGGATGGCCGGGTACCCGTGTATCGCAATTAATCGATTATGTATCGAAAAAGTGACCCGGCGTCACACAGGAGTCTCGGAATTCGGGACATGGAAAATGCTTAAAAGTGGCGCCAGCTCTCCCACTTACATTACGACTCTATGTACTCTATGTACAAGATACGCCTAAGGCCCTGAAAAGGCGATGCGTGGAGCTCACACGAGTCTACGGTGAAAGAAACATGCAGCCAACGGTTATATAGGCTTGTGACGTCACTGGTGGTGAGACAACGACACTATACGTGATTGGCTGGCTATAATCAAAGGAGCCATCAGCTGCAAGTCTAGTCATTACTGGAAATACGATGACTGGATGATAAAACAGAAGATTTGAGAATTTGAGACAAAAATGCTCAAATCCAGCCATCGCTAATGGCATATGGAGAAACTTCCCAAGTAGCATTTCCCAACGGAAAAATCTCGATATTTTGAAAATAAGTTGCGATTTGTTTCTAGAAAAAGATGCAGGATAGGAAAGGTGCATAATATCGCAATAAATCGACGTCGACAGAATCGCGAAACATTCTCTGGTCAAATCGAAATTCATTGCGATCACCACTACTTGGGTAAAGGAAGAATGAAAGGGACAAGTGATGGGTCTCTCACACCGCAATCACACGCTGAATGTGGGAGCTGAATGTGGCTTGAATGTGGAAGTCATCGGCCCGATGCCTGAATTTTGCGCGTGACGCGCAAAATTCAGCAACGATTCTCAGCAACCATCGGACCAATTTTGAATTTGTCTGAACTATTCGAGTAGATTTGATACACATCTGGATGAAAGTAATTCGAATTTGCTAAATTTCAGCCGTTGAGCGATGACTGTTGACTTCCACATTCAGGTGCTAAATTCAGCGTCTGATTGCGGCATCAGGGCCCGTGACAGACCATTCGTCTGCCCTCTTATTTATTTAAGTAATAAAAAGATATTTTAACATCCTTATCTTACCTGCTTTTCTCAATTGTTTAGTCCTCTTATTTATTTAACTAATAAAAAGATATTTTAACATCCTTATCTTACCTGCTTTTCTCAATTGTTTAGTTTCCTTTTCCCGTTTTTCTTAGGTAAAGGTGCGGGTGGTCTGTTCGGTGGCTACTTAATGAAGGCATTTGGAACGCGGGCGACGTATCGAATTTTTGCAGTCCTAACGCTCGTCACCGGCTGCATGTACTATTTGCTCAATCAAATTTACATCGTCGGCCGAAGCATCAGTCAAATCGAATCAGGTCCAGCTTCAGCTCTGAAGGTAATTCTAACCCTCACTTGCGACGCAGCCGAATCTCCAGAGGACCTTTTGCGCTCTCTCGAACCGCTCTCCGTGCAATTCAGAAAGTTCTTACCTATTTACATCCGAGGTAAAAAAACTGCAACGGACCACATCACAATACGGCAACACTGTCGTGATGATCATTGAAGATCTTTCAGTCGGTGCTTTAAAACATTATTAATTTGGACGTATTTTAAACGAAAGAAAACGAAAAGAGTTCATATTCTCCTTCATTTCGCGGTAATGCAACTTTACTTGCTTGAAAGTCGAAATAGTTGTATCACGCGTTTTGCCCCGTAGCTTTTGGCGCTAAATTCAGAGATGTTTGCGACATTTGGACCTATTTCTGTTAAAAGGAACCAGAGACTTGTGGGAAAGAAGGAGTGTACTATGTACTCGTTGGGAGAGGGCCGTGAGGATGGTTTCAGGACATTTTGTCAACGGTTTTTCGTCCGCGCACCTTTTTTGTCCAGTAATAGTTTACGCCCACACGTAAAATAAGCAACAGTGACTTGGTCCAAGCGTTTTATTTTAGTCGGTATGTAAAATTATATTGACAATATGGAAATGAGAAATTGAGAGGGAAGGAGATGTTGTTATGGTTGCTCGTTTTCTAAATGAAATGTTATTACTTTCTCCTTTTGAATCATCTTTTTAAATTGTCATTGGTGAATATTTGGTTTTATTTCTATCCTTAAAATATTCGATGTACAATATACCTTCTATATGTATAGGTACTTTTTTTATTTTTTTAATTTTTTCTTTACGAAATTATTACTCCATTTTGAAAACATTTATATTTTTAAAACGTGACACATACTTGTAAAACCTTTTCCAAGCGACATGATCTCAATGAGCCGCAGTTGTGCGGACAGAAACTGCAAAAATGAATAAAATGGAAAAAGAACCAAGAAGCACTCAATCTTTAGTTGTAACTCATTTGTACATCGATCTTTTAGAGTCAAATACGTCAAATTTTGAGCGTTTGGTTGCGCGTACACCTCGCTGCAGCACAATAAAAGAACAAAATGTAAAAGAAAAAAGGAAAGTGCTCTGGGAATCATTAAAGTTGACACGGAACCACCAATATCTAAAAAATACACACCATATTATTATTGTCCTTTGATAAATTGATAATATTTTTTTCCCATCAATTAACATGAGAATAATCAATGCAGAGTAAGCAAACATTTCAAAATCATGAGTTAAAAAACGCTGACTATGCGAGTATAAATATTAAAGCCTAACTGAGCGGAGCGGCATGCTGCCTGCGCGAGAGGCTCACTGGCGCTTACAAACCTAACTGGATACTTCACGCATTGCACAATGCTTGAAGTATCCACTTAGGTTTGTAGGCGCCATACTTCACGCATTGCACAATGCTTGAAGTATCCACTTAGGTTTGTAGGCGCCAATGCGCGTTTCGTAAAATAAAAATAAACTATGCAGCACGCAAATCTCATGCCCAGATGTCTCGTTTTAAGTTGAATCATTTTCACATAGTTAACTTTGGCATAAATACATTTCATTCTCATTTTTCTGCAAAGGGTATTCGTTTTAGTTGTTCAAATAATAAAACAATTTTCTTTTCAGGATAAGAAGAAGATGGAGTCTGAAAATTCAGCATTGAAGAACAGTATCAATAACGGTGGCGTTGTTTACTACGTGAGCGAACCAAATCACGAAAAAACCACAAATAGTGCCGAAATTCAGAGCAAAAAAGACATCGATGCCAAGAGAGAAAATGAGCTCAAAGGTGAAACGAATTTAGGGCTTGAAAACGACGATGGAACCACGGATAAGCCCAGTTCTGATGTTCCAACAGAGACTACATACAGATAACAGTTATTTAACGATCTGACTTTCGTCCATACCAGGGATTTCAGCGAAATAAAACTAATGGACTTTTGAAAAAAAATGTTGTTCTTGTTGAAAGACGCAAAATATTAACTAATAACCAAAAAGATTAGTACCCTGTCATTCTGTTCTTTTTTCATCATTCCTTTTACAACTTTATCTATGATCTTCTTGTAAAATATTTTACCTAATTTGACGTAATTTGTTTCTATACGTATAAAAATTATTGGACGTTCTTACAGCTCAAAGTGCAATAACGTGTGGTGTGCACTATCATTATTAAATATCGCTAAAATAAAATCGTTCCTAATCTTTGATTTTGATGTAAAATAGATACATTGGACCAATGCTCTTTAAAAATCAATTCTCTGAAAGTTCTAATACAGTCACATATTTACAATGTTCCTTTCAAGTCCAGACAAGTTATCTTATCATCAGTTATACTTTGATTCTATCTTAGATCTCTTTAATTTGGCTACAATCGAGCGGAATGTAATCTTCGACAACACCATGATATCTCAGTAGAAAAATACCTGCAATTTACTGAAAATGTTTGAGAAATACTCATACGTGAAATCACACCAAGTTTCAAGAAGTAAGTACGGCAATATTTTGTGTTTAAGAATAATTTGTTAAAAATCGTCGTCAAAAATTTAGACAAAAATTTCAGTACGCTTCATAATTGATACCTCATCAATATGTGAAATCCTTACTTCTAATCGTCTCAATTCCCTTCCTTAAAAATTTTCCAAACTAGTCGGTGAATTTTCCGGTGATCTATAAATACATTATTATTTCATTCCTTTATTTTTCCTAAATGTTTGTATTTCTGTTCATGAAATTTTGTGAGATTAGTTTTTAAATGTTCCAAAAGACAATTGTATATTAATAAAAAAAAAAAATAAAAATCCTAAAAGGTTCCTCTTTTTTTGATCCCTTTCCTTTGTTCCCCAGTTTCGCAATTGAGAAGCCGAAAAAATACGTTGAGAGAAGGGAGGCAGAAGAGGAGGGAGCGAAGAGGAGAAAAAGAGAGGAGACAAAAAGGTGATAAATTCACTGTAATCCTACGATCTAACATATTCATTACAGTCAGATGATCCAGGATCCGAGTCGTGGTAAGGGGTGAGGAGGGTGGTTAATCACAACCCTTTTTTGCCTCATTGAGACAGCCAAAGAGTAAGATCATCATGTAGAAAGTCATGTCACATCTAGTAGAAAATCATGTAAAATAAAAAGTGCTCTTACAAGTTATTACTATTACGAGAAGGGCAGCTGAGTCTGCGTTATGGTGCGGCAAAAAAGAAGACTGGGGATCACACTCGGCATTGCGTCCAGGATCAGGCTTTTAAAACTGAAAAATTTTGGAAGTCAAAAACCCGAATTGTTGGTTCTCTTTTCGACATGAGACCAATGAAATTAGAAATAGGTAGACGGACACGCTTGATTCATGAATAGGATCAAGATCTATGGTACGGGAAACCTGTAGGAGGGGAAGGGCGGAAAATACCAGCGCAGGTTATTTTCGTGATGAAATAAAGCGCCTTCAAAACTTGACCTGTCGAATTGCTGTACTTACTGTGTGTAAGTTGGGAGGGGATGGGTTTTAACACTCGCCAAATAATCAAAGAACACATCAAAAGGCAGATTTGCACTCTCGCGTGACTATTAGTCTTACGAAATTTAAGTTAATTTCAGTTTGTTACCCACATTAATGACCCACGTTTTTTAATCACTAAGTCTACTCTATGTCTCTTCGGGTCATTTCCCTGGCTGAGTCCTGTCTTCTAAATAACCTCTTTTATTCGCAAAAGGCCGGACATTTTAAAAATAACTCTATAATTTTACCTACAAGTGTGTTGAAAAAACTCGGTTACCGGGAAGAGTTGACTGAAAAGTAAAGTGCTTAAAAGTGAAAACTATGAATACAGGGAGGGTACGATATTTTAGTGATGGAAAAAGTCCAATCTCAAGTTTTGCCATCTCCGCGTCTACCCTCCCAAACTTCATGAAAATAGTTAGTTTGTGTTTATTTCTTGCAACCATTCGGTTCTCGGAAGCTGCGAAGCCTGGTTTCATCACCGTGAGAAACAACGGGACCTATGTTTCGTACTTAGAGCTTGAATTCCACGAAAACGGAGAGACGAAGAGTTTGAAATCGGAGCATTTCGTGAAGGGACAATCCACAACGATCGAGATCCCACAAGGTGCCACCAACATTTTTTTCACCGCCAAGTGCCAGATAAATCCGAAATATCCAGATGACGTCATGAGCAAGTTTTTCATACGACCGGTCCAAAAGTGTTACGAAATTTGGGGGTCAGTTGCGGATCCAAAATACGCTGAAATAAGAACTTCTTGTTTCTGAATTGCCATGCATGCTAACTCAGCTTTTTTAATTTTTTTTAAATGAAATTATTCGTGTGACACGTTATGTAAAATTTAAAAATTGTACTAAAATAAAAATGGTAAGCGTTCAGATCACGATCAGAAAGCGAGCTCAGCCTCCGTTTGAATCATACAGTTGACTCTTCGTTTTACCTTTTAGAGAAGAAAATTGATCTGAAGTGCATTGCTTTATCGGACTTGAAGAAATCATCTTGTGAAGTTATAAACTCAAAATGTAAAACTAACGGTAATATTGGGAAGTTATGTTGAGAGGTTCTCTTTAAACCTCAAATCAGAAGACAAACATTTGTAAGAGCTAATGTAAACTACTATCTTCCAGTCGTATTTTAATGCCACTTGAGTAGAGACGTCTACAGGTTGCCACTTGCCCGGACATCTATTCGCACACGGCTGTAGTCAGTTTGGTATCTTGTGGAAATGAAGGGTATTTTTCTCTGTCCAGTTTAAATACTAGCGTTTCTTCCTCCTATTTTTCGCTCACAAATAGATACATAATTTATCATGTTTTGTTATTATGCCTACATCTGACGTTAGTGCCATTACACCATTAGAATGCCTCTCCATCATATGAGATTAGAATTTTTTTTAAAAAAAAATTAAAAATTAAAATCTGAAGACGGTTAACGTAATTTCTGCTTTTTATCTTTAATAGACGTGTTTTTGCAAACTAAGCTAAGATTGATCAATTCTTAGGTTATCACAGTGAATATAAAAAATGACAAAAATGTCTCTGAGAGGAAATAAGATAATCCATGTAACAGCCGCACTAACATAGCAAATGGCCAAAAATGCCCGCATTTTTCCGGAAAATTGTAGCGTAGTGGAAAAAAATTAAGGTCATTTTCGAATTCAGCGCCTCCAAAAACATCCTCTCTCGTCTCGGAGACATTTTTGCCAATTTTTTGTTGCACTGTGTTATCAGTCATCATTTGATCAATCTGGGCGCTGATTTAACTTTTACTCTAAAATACACAACTCTAGTCGAACGGGTCGATTCACACATCAAAATTTTATTGTGGTAAATAGCAGATGTATATCGATCGCAATAATGGCTCACGAATCGGTTCACCAAGTATCATCATGAAAAGTTGTTGCACGCTCTGTGGTTGGCCGAGCTGGAGGATAATTCAATTATTCTCACACTGCGGCCTGCACTCCTGTAGCTATAGCCGCGCTGAAAAATTAATCACCGTTTTCGTTTTCAAGCTCGATCGACCTATAAATCGTCAGTGTGTAACAAATCTTCCTTATTGATTCCAACAATGCGGCCAAGCGGTGAGCAGCACCGTCGACCAGACGATCGACTGTTGATGTTGCAGGAGCTAATTATTATTCATGCATGGATTTGAAATGAGCCTTAAGACGAGGAGAGACCTAACAATGGTATATCTAGGTAATGGTGGAAGTTTTTGTTTTTCGGACTTCAACATTGAATCGCTGACTTACCGCATTTCCACCAGGAGCCCCTCTACATCAATAACTCTACTGAACTCTTCTGCAAGATTGAGCATTCATAGAAAGGATGTGTGCCATTAAGGAGGGTATTTTGGCCCTAACTTTGGTCAAAAATTGAAACAGCTTAGAATAATGTCATGCATGGTCAAATCGACTCTTATAATCATCTACCCTGTGAAAAATTGTCCATATTTGAAGTGTTTTTGAAAGGGTTTTGCCTGATTTACCAGCGCAAAGCAGTGAAGTTTTGCAGTTTTCTCGAATAATTACTCATTTTCGGTCCTAAATTAGATTGTTAATGTATGAACACAAGCGACTACCACTTTCTCCTTAAAATATGTTGTAATCGGTGTACTAAAGATTGACATATTCGAATATAAAAATGGTAGTCGCTTGTGCTCATACGTAGACAATCTAATTTAGGACCAAAAATGAGCAATTATTCGAGAAAACTGCAAAACTTCACTACTTTGCGCTGGTAAATCAGGCAAAAACCTTTCAAAAACACCTCAAACAAGGACAAGCTCTCACAGGGTAGATGATTAAGACTCGATTAGGCCATACATGACATTATTCTAAGCTGTTTCAATTTTCGACCAAAGTTAGGGCCAAAACCCTCTTTAATGGGACACATCCTTTCAGCGGTTACCACTAACTTTACCGCGGCTATTTCAAATCTTGGCCCTCGTTCACTACCTCGATGAACACTGGTACCTGAAACCTGTGTGGTACGGACTTGTGTCTCCCGAGTTGAACACCTCGGTAGTTGGAGTTTGAACTCCTCCCGTCCTGGCAACATACGTACTTCCTGCTCTTGTTCAAAATATCGGCGCGCAGCGTGGTGCGTTGTCCCGTTACTTGCAATTGTTACTCTTCAAAACTAATCCCCGTTTATGTCCGTAGTCGGACGTCATAACGTCGCTCCTCCGACGTAAGGGCGTATCTCGATTTCCGGATGGGCCCCAAAGAGCATGGGTTCATATGTAAAATAGGGCTCACACGGACATTGAGATACGTCCTTGTGTCATAGGAGCGACGATATCTGCTCTCGCGTTGCGAAGTTTTAGCGCTACATCTGCTCCTCTCGGAGCATTGTTTTTTCAGCGATTGGTTTAAGGCAGGCTGATAGAAAAGCAAGCTCAGCCATATTATAGAGTGGGTAAAAAATAGTTGTAGCTGTAGTGAAACTACCAGACCACGTGTATCGGTTTGTGACATTGCAGACTTCTTATCATAATTTATTTTTGAAATGGAAAACTACTAAACGTCAATTCTTGACGACATTTTTCTTCTTTGTGAGAGGAAAATCCTATGGAAACTATAAGGTATGATATTGATTCGATTTCCTTAAAAAAAAAATTAAATGAGAGCGGAGATTTTTAAACCCCGCAAACGAGACTCGTAACCTGGTAGTTTCACCATCGATATCTACGAAAACTATCATGAATCTGCTTGTCAGTTAGCAGTATGTGGAATTTTCCTTGAGAATCAATGTACGACTTCGTCTCTTGTGAACTAACCAGCAGACGCCCTGATTCCAGTGGCGTGGCGTGAATTGCGATGTATCGATTGTTATGCCATTTAAACGTATGGTAAAGAATCGATTATTTAGGTGTTCGCTGCGAACACCCTGTTTATCGATCCTAGGTTCCATAGGTTTAAAAGGCATAACAATCGATATATCGCAAAGCACGCCACGCCATTGCCTGATTTACGAAAAAATATTGGCTCCTTTCTGATAAATGCGGGTCACACTAAGCGTTTAGTTCAGGTTCAAAGTAAAAGAAGTATATTCAATGATGTTTTATTGTTTATTCGGACGAAACTTAAATTTTTCCCCCGACAGGCTCTGAAATATTTTCACCAAAAACTCGTCCTGTTCGAAACGTGCACTAGCCGCGGCCGCCTCATGCAACATGGCCGGGAGTTGGACTTTGTGCCTCGCAATGGACCTCAGGATCAAGTAGCCCACGTAGATAATGAAATAAATGCTGAAATACAGAGGCACGTACCATAAATGACGCCCGACTCCATAGTAATAGTACTGAGCCTCTCTTTCATCCTCTTCCTCGTCCGCTGGCGTGGGTGGAGGGGCTGGAGGGAGGAGGGGAGGGGGCGGTGGAGGAGGAGGTCGTGGCTGCGGCTGAGGAGGAGGGAGGTAAAGATAAGCTGGTCCCGGGAGGGGCGAGGGATGTGGAGGGTTGTATGAGTATCCTTCCTGTTTTGGAGGATTGTAAACGTAAGCAACCTGTTTTGGCGGCAAATATAGGGGGGCAGCAGTGGAGGGTGCTGGTTTGAGCGCTATGGGGACCGGATACGCATACCCCGCGGGTGCGACGACGGGCTTAGAGGTGGGGGATGGGGGCAGATATGTCTTAGGGGGAACGGATCCGTTTCCGCTGGGGGATGGTGGTGGCGGCACGTAGTCTGTAGATGGAGGGATATAAGGGGGAAAGTACTGGTCCGCAGTGTGGTATAAGGGTGCGGGGTCCGGGGGTGGGGGCAAGTAGGAGCTACCGGGACGAGGAGGGGGGTAGTCATCGGCCAATGGGAGCCGCGAGGAGTTCAACTGAGAGGGCTCTTGTAGGGAATCATACTGATCGTCGATAAAATTACTGCTGATTAAAGCTGATTGCTGATTGCTCGAGGCTCCACCGTCGAATTGAGCGTATGTCGCGTCTGATTGACTCGAAAAGCCGTTGTCGACGAACTGCTGTCCCGATGCGCCAACGTTGACGAACTGGCCATCCGATGGGTCGTTGAGGTAAATGTTGCCGGAATCAGCACCGATTGAATCGTCCACTTGGAACTGACCGGAGGCGAAGAAGCTTTCAGGGCTTGGCTCGTGGGGTAAGGCCTGAGCGATGGCGTTGTGTGCGGCTGCTTTCAGGTGTTTCAGATGAGCGAACGTCGAGGGATTGAAGCGATCCTGGGCCACTTGACTTTCCGGCAAACTCCGAGTATTAATCGATCGTGTTTTGACGTCATCGCCGGCATCGACTGTTCTTGGATTTCCTTGTGTTTGGTTGTGTGCCAGCATGAAAGTTGAAAAGTTGCGGTGCAATGGATTCCTCAGCGGTTCAGAATATCTGGCGCTGAAACATGGATACAAGACCAAAGTTGGCATTTGAAGACTAGTACTGGAAATTCTTGTAAACGTTTATTATGTCAAAAACGCATCTCCTAAGTGAGGAGAAAAAATGATTTGCCATAAAAACTGGGTAATGATGGGGAAAAACTAAGATCATCTTGTTTGCAGTCCCACCCCACCCCACCTTACATCATCCCGTGTGTTTGGAATCCCACACGCCGGCGTTTGACCAAAAGTGTCACTAAAATTTGATATAAAAATTTGGACGGATTATTATCAATGTCAATGCACGAACGCAATTCGTATTATATCAGAGGCTGCTTGGGATTGTTCAAGGTCAAAACACTGTGCAATAAAAATGAGAAAAATTTAGAGATTATTGCAGGATTTTTGGCACGGCAATTCATTTAATAATTACTAATTACAAATAAAAACAAGAATCAAAGAACTCGCTACGTATAACATAGATAGTCCAAAAGATGGTATACATTAAGATGAGGCCACGAAGGAAAGGTTTCAAAAGAATATAGGTAAATAATGTCCTATGCTCAAAAAAATTTAAAAAGTGTATATTCTGATCCCCCGAATCCTAAAATAGGTAACCTCCGTCCTTTTCTATCACCAACCAGTCCCCAGAGATAGCCAGTTTTTCAGGGAAAATTCCGTGAAGAGCTTTTCTTGCCGTTTCCCAAAAACAAGGCTAAGAGTTTCTTAGTTCTGTATATTGAAGCTACCAGTAAATTTTCAGCCGCTGAATCCGAAAATTACCTCAGATTTGTTTTATTTGTCTCCAGAGTTAAGAAACAAAACTATTTTTGTTTGCGCAGCATCATTCATTGCTTTTTGAAGGGTGCAAAAAGTTACAACGGAGAATATTGATTTTTCTGAAAAACTGCGCAAATGAAAAAATTTGCGTTCGATTCCGGATTCGACGGCTCCAGAAACACTCCAATTATTCATCCACGCAGACCATTGACCATATTCCATCATTTAAACATCATTGACCTTTTCTCTTAGAAGATTATGGCAAGGAAAGCTTTGACGATTTTTCCTGGGCTCATAACTTTGCTATCTTGGAAAACTGGAAAGTGGTGGGAAAAACGAGTTATCATCGGACTCAGTTGATCGTGGTAGGTTTTCGAACTTAACTTTTCATCTGAAAAGAGGGATATTTTTCACCTCTTATTGGTAGCAACTGCGTGGTTTTAGTTTTTGGGACTGGTGTATTTTAGTGCGTTCGTCTAGTTGCGAATGAAGGTCCTCATTTCTGAGGACAACAGTGACAAGGTGTGAATGATCCAGTTTGAATATCTCTCCATTTGAAGTATTAAGGTGTTTGTTGTGAACAGCCTGTTTATCAATCATTATCCGTAGATTTAAATGGCAGATCAATCGATAATTCGCAAAGCACGCCATGACACTGGAGGACAAGGAGTGATCCTCTCCTTTAATTAATTACCCTCAGCCATCAGACCATAATGATTGATTAAATAATGACTCAAATCATAAATCAAGACACCAGCACTTAAAAACAAACTTAAATCCCAAAATGAAAAAAAAAAAGAGAAAAAAATTGTGGTAGACGAGAGAAACAAATCACCTGTCAAATACGAATGGTTTGCCGATGTTTTCGGCGTCCGTCACATCCACCCGGATCAAAAACCACAGTGGGGACACAATCAAGGCACCGATGACACTTTTCATTTTTCACTAACATCTGAAAAGGATGAACTGAAACACACGTCCAGAGAGGATACTACCTCCAGTGGCGCAGTTGCAACTTCCCGTGAATTTTGGCCGCCCCCTCCCCCCGAACCCCGGTAGATCCTCCTCCAATTTACACCGCGCTTTGTGGGAGTTCTCTTGTAGGCGTGTCACTTGAAAAAAAAAGAGAAAAAATGCAAAACTTGACTCTAGCAGCAATCGGGGAAAGGTGCAGAGGCTCTGATGTCAAATTCTTGATTTAAAACAACAATTTCTGCTATGCCATTGCGCTCGGAAAAGTCTCGATTGTCAGCTATTTGGAATATAACTCTCTAAAATAATCTTTTTTTTTAAAAAAAAAAAAAAAAAAAAAAAAAAAAAGCCTTCTAAGATTTTTAAAATTTTCTCCAAATATAAAGATATTCCTCAGCATTATCTGACTGCAGCTGTTCACTCGCCACCATATTTTCAAAGCATACGACGAGATCTGCTGTGCTGAGGAAAAACGTCATATCAACATTCGCATGTTGCCAAATTTCCACTCATAAAAGACGTATTTGAGACGTAAGTTATGCACTTATGCATATTTTTCCTTGAAATTTTCAGACACTCTAGATCAAATTACGAACAAAAAATCTCTAAAAGAAAATCTAAAAAAATTGGAGGAAAAATATTTACTCTCGAAAAAATTGAGCATAGGGTTGTTGGATGAAATGGACAGTTCCAGTCAATTGTTATGGTACCCTAATTTATTTTATTGTAGTAGTACACTAATTAATTGTGGTAGCATCCCAATTAATTTTGATAGTACCCCAATTAATCGTGGTAGCGCCCCCATTAATTTTGGTAGTACCCCAATTAATCGTGGTAGTACCCCAAAAAATCAGGTCACCGACCCCAATGTTGCGGCCCTACTTCAACTTGAATTGCGATACTACCCCAATTAATTGGAAATGTCCGTATTATCCAACAAATTAAGATAGAACCAAAATTTTAGGGGATAAACCCTGACGTTTTTTCCGCGCAAATTTTCCTGGAAATGCGTGATTTCTTGAAAAAAGAGATTCAGCAACCTCTGAAGGTTCACATGACGTTTTCCCTTTGCACGGTAGAGATGACTTCGTTCCCAAGTGGCAACCCTTCGGCGAAGACCTCGTGCGTGCGAACTGACCCAGTAGGTGAAAAAACTTTGAACCAGAAATCACGGCAAGATTAATGGCATGGCTCAATTAACACTAGCTCGTTAGACGCTCTCGGGAGGAAACGATGTCAAACTGTGTTTGCCTAGCCGAATGCCAACTCCCTCCTCTGGCGTCATTTCAACGGTCGATGCTCAGTGTTGACACAGACGTCCGCTACCATTAACTGAGTCACTTTTCGCAAAAACAGCCCAAGTTCAACGTCACGTGTATGCGACGCCACCGTTTTGACGAATACAAAGAGCGCAGAAGCGGACAACCATTATTTGTTCTGGTAATGCTGCGTAAGTTATCATGACCACTCATCAAACATGAATGGTTAAACTGAAAAAAAAAGTTGGGCGAAATTTTGAAAATCTAATTTTTTACAAGTTGTGAACATCTACTGGAAGAGTACTCCGCAAGGGCGGAGGTAACTCTAGAAGGGATGACCGCAATGCCAACATCGGGGGAGGGGGCGGAGACACTCCAGCTGAGAAATGCACGCTGATGATTTTTTGGAGACTTTAACGAACGGTGAGAAAAGTAAGACAACTTTGACGAGTTACTTGTTAGGTTAAAAGGTATCGAGACCAAGATATATTTAGTTAGTGGGTAAATTTATAAAAGCTACAAGGACATGCAGCACAGAATTCCGCAATTAGAATATCAACCCCCCCCCCCCCCCCCCCCCCNAGGCAAGGGACTCTTAAACATGCACGCCATTTGGGGTTTTTTCCACCAGTCCGGCACTGCCAACATTGTGGGAGGGCTGGGGGGCGGCAATGATGTTGAGTAATGCTCAGTGGTAATTATTTGGAGACTTTAACTAACGGTGAGGAAAGTAAGAAAGCTATAACGAGCTACTAACAGCAGCTTAAAGGTATCGATACCTGTTTGTGGGTACATTTATGAAAGTTACAGGAACATTCAGTACAGAATTCTGTGAATTTGAAAAATTAAGTTAAATTTTAAACAGGTAAAATTGAAGGAAGTAAGCGCTGACTTTGGAGCCAGATTTTATCAGTGTAACGTGTTTTTTTCTTTTTTTTCTTTTTTTTTCTTTTTTTCGAAAGAGCGCTGAGGATTTACCTAGACTTGGACTTTGCGAGCTGTAGATAAAATACCATTCATATATACCCTTACGGCTAAAAGCTTAGATGAGTAAAATGCATGCAGTCATGACCTTCCCATGTACTCCTCTAAACTGGCGCATCATGGAAAAACAAGCGATGAAACATCGGATAACAGGAGAAAGGATGGGCAGCGTTAGGAACACCAACTTGAAGTGCAGGAATAAACCCGCGGGTATACACGATCAAAGTCAACCACGCTTGTCGAACTTCCCCGCAGCGCATGTAAAATTTCTTTACGATGATGTAGGGACGGTGGTGCAATCTGGCGATTGTCTTAGTAACTAAACATAATTACCAAAGCTCGGAAAGGGCTGCAGCTCCTGATCCAATCTACGGATCGCTTGTCGAACGACCTTGATCGATAAAAAGCATTGCTGAAATAGGGATCTATTTCTCAAGGTCGTTTGATATCGATTCAGTAATCGATTGGCTTGATGCAAATTTTATTAGAGCAAGAGTATAGCGTGTTACCGTGCGCTTCAAGGAGGGCGCGCGACAACTGGCGCTTAATTGCGTCCGTTTGATGATTACGTGCATTTCGTCGACATGCTATCGTTATACCCGTGGAATGGGTGTGATAAAATCCTCTGGGCTTGGTCCTTCGGGTGACTTTTCATCATTAATACGAGAGCTTCCAAAGAAGAATAGTTAGATTTATATGCTTAGTCTAACCTTAATGGGGCTTTTGCAGTATTTTTTTGGAATTCATTCTCAGAAAGAACTTTAAAAAAAGATCAGGGAGGCCCAATGGCCCATGGAGCCTCGCCTCTCTCCCTCAAAATTACCTTGGTCAATTGTTTGGTGAAAACTTTACCGCGTGAAAATGACGAATCAAGGCAATAGTTAGGTGCTGCATGATTTTAAAAAAAATCCTCATCTCTATGATATAACTGCAAATATTTAAAAATAAAAAATATAGCTCTAAAAAATGCGAAACATATGATAGTGAAGTATAAATCTATTTTAATTCTTGAATCAGGTACATTGTCGTAAATATTCGACGAGCATATGCAAAAACCATTATATAAAGGTCACGCCTTTTATAGCTACTCTTTTTTCCTGTCAAAGGAGTCAGGAGTCTCTTCACAAAATTGACGAATCTTAGCATTGTTGGTAACACTGGAAAAGAGTAATGTTTGCCGAACAAACTCCGGTAATTCAATTGACACATTCACTACAGCTAAGCCCACCGGAACTTTTTCTCCTGGTAGTGAGCCAATTAGTCAAGAATCAATAAGCTTCTGACCAGGTGTCTATCCGAACTTCTCAGTTAGTGATTGCTTTCAGCGTGCTCTATTAGTAATCAGCATTACATTTTTGAGTGTTAAAATTCATTCATTTTTGGTTACCATCCTAAAAATTGTGTGTTCCGCATAGTATGTACGACAGCGCGTAGGAGAATGAGGCAAGTTGCAACGCAAGTGAAAAAAACATGGTTTTGTACGGACTTATTCTGGTGCTCGCGACTGTTCTTATGCTTCTGACAGTGGGTTTGGCACACGCCAAGAATGGAACCAGTTTGTCTTGTGATTTTAGTCGGAATAAAGCAGTACAGCCCATTTTTGATCAAAGCGAGAACTCCAGGTAAGAGCTTCAAAATATAATGCAATTTTAGATATAGACGTAAGTTTGCTTTTCTGATAAATTCTTACGATAACACAACGTAAAAGTAAACATTAGCTTGGGCACCATAAGTTCAATCCTCGTGTGTACTTCAGGTATGCAGTGATTTCATTAAGAGTACAGCAAATTAAAATAGTTATTTAAATGTATAATAAAAAAACCATCTCTACTTTTAAACGTTCACGCGTCATTTCTCAGAAATCTGTCCCGAAGTCTTCGTTGTATCTGGCTGAAAGAAGATTCAAGTAGAGACTATTCTTAAAATTTCAGAATTCAGTCTGGACGTATGGTCTAATTGAATCAAAGATTATCAGGTAAAGTTTGATGTTATCACTAAAAATCATTGTACACATCCAAAGTAAAAATGCACTGTTTCAAGCAAACAAACTTTTACCTAATTAATTCAAAGATATGTTGAGCATTTTGTTCATGCTTGTGAGTAAATGTACATTTTACCTCAATTGGAGATGAAAAAAGGTAAAAATCACGGTAAATACATTCATTGATTTTTCTTTACAGAGAAATCAACACGGGGAGAGCTGTTGCAAATGCTTATTATGATTTTCTTATTAACGAGGGCTCCTACAAGTTTTGGGCAATTTTTCAGGTAAGGCTAAAGAATCCCAGACTTAAAAATCTTATTAATAAGCCCTCTCTCTTTTTCAATGTACGCAATTGTTTTAACTTAAACTCAAGATTTTAATTTTTACTGAAAACATACAGGTTATTCAAAAGTCACGCACCACTGGCCATAACTTTAGTTCCTCGTTTTTCCTCGTATCGAAGGGGGAACTTTGTTGAGCACTTTCCAGTTTTTGATCCCCTCGGAAGGAGGGAGGGGGGGGGGGCAACTCAAAAATTTCAAATGTTCACCCTCCTCATGGCCAGTGGTGCGTGACTTTTAAATGGACGGAGTTAAACAGAAAGGAACCAAGCCACATCGGGCTCGAACCGAGAAAAAGAGGTTTAAAGATTGGCTCCTGCATAAGAGTCAATGTAAAAGATAAGCTTCAAGTTCAATTTCTGCAAAATTTGCCCCAACAAAAACTTTGAATTTTCGGCGATAGATAGTAGAGCAGTGGTTGAGTTCAAAACCACTCATAACTCAATTTTTTCCAAAATGTGGGTTGGTTCCTTTCTGCTTAACTCAGTCCAAATAACCCTGTAGATTTAGAAATTAGCTAAATTCAATCAAATGCACACGGAATGGTAATTAACAAAAAGATATAGTGCCGCGGATGATTGGATGTTATAAATTAAACTTTGACTAAAGAGTTAGCCTATTATTAATTTTCAAGGAAGACGCGATAGCATAGTTAAGAGGACTTACCTAAATCTTAGAATTAGAAGAAATCATGTAATGATTACTTTGGTATAAACACGGCCTTCAAGTATCACTATGCCCCATTTTCCAAATCTATTCTACAATGACACGTTCGATTAAATATTGTTGCAGCTAGCGACGGTGGCAATTCTCTTATATTCTGTATTCGCCGCCATATACTATGCTAAATATCAGTACCTGACAGATCCGCCCACAGACATCGATGACCTCTTCAGGTCAAATAATGGTGGCTTGGGAACTTTGGACGAATCCACGTTCCTCATGATACTCCAAGCATTAGAACATGTACCACTGCGTGATTGATGTAAGCCACGATGGACGGCTCATTACATGACGAGACAAAGATAAATTAGTTTGTTCCTCTACTTCTCTTTACGAAAAAGTGTGTAACCCAGAACATGAATTTTTGAAGGCAAATTTGTTGTAACAGCTCTAGTGCGTGAATTTTTTTTATATGTATAAATTGTGGCCTGCGAGCCAATAATTCTAATTCTTTCTAGCTCTCTAATTTATCATGTACATACTTACATTAGTATTTTAAAGCTTTTCTGTAAAGACCAGACCTCAGAAATCAAAGGTAATTAGGATTTTGAAAGCAGATTCCTGAATTTGGTTATGAGTACATTAGTTGTCTGCAAATTGGTTTGCACCATTAGTTTGCGTACAATTTATAAGTTAAAATAATTACTGTATTGCTGTGATGAAAACGCATGAAAAATGTTTTCATCGCAATTTAATTCTATTTTAGTTCTTAGAATGCATTGTGATTTACAAACAAAGTATCAAGATTAGTTAGTTTAAGTAAGATAAAGTAAGTTGATAGGCACAATTACAGGCACATTGTTTGAATGACTCGATCTTGTCGCACAAACCTCCTTTTCCATTCAAAGTAGTAAAGTATCAAAGTATTTGAGTATATCAACGCAAACAAAAGTTCATATTCGTACACCGAAAGCCTTTCGGCTAGCCATCGCACAGTGGATCGAGTCAATAGGAGAGGTCGGACATTTGGAAACTTTAAATGCTTATAACCTCGTTTCGCAAAACTTTGCGGTTCTAAAAGTGGTTTCATCGATTTCCTCGAGAAATTTTCTTCAATGAGCCCCTCTTGAAGTTTAAACTGTGACGAAATAAGCATCAAAATTTACAGTTTCAGTCAAAAATTTCATGTCCGACCTCTCTAATTGACTCGATCCACTGTGCACCGTCAAAAGCCCCGAAGCTGAGACGCACACAAGTCAACGACTCTGATGTAGTATTCAAATTAGGCAATAAAAGGGTTCCTAATTTTAAATTAGTTTACGGTCCTGGCAGAGCCTCTTCATGAACATTTAGTGTAATTTGTTTGCATAACAACTGCTCCACGTTGGGCGGCACCGTAAAACTCCACGAATCTCCACCTCCGGAAAAGGCAATCGAAAAGACCACCAAAACGGTGGGAACCGCGGACAACTGCTCACCGGTTGCTGATCATCCTCCACATCTACCACCACCGATTTACAAGCCACGCTGCCGTGCTGAGGAAAAGCGCCGCATGATTAGCTATTAAGCTTAGCCGAATTTCCTTTGATTAAATACGAATTGTCGGGAAACCTGATAATATTTTGCTACGATTTTTCAGACTTTGCTCCTGATTTCATCCATGAAAATTTTAGGGAAAAATATGCTTAACTTTTCACCGATATAATTATAACGAGAGAAAATTTGGCAAAATTCGACTGTCCATACGGCGTTCCTCCTTAGAACGGTTGATCGTCGTTTACTAGTTTGGTTGCCGTCAGAGCACGCTGAGTTCGTTGATTTAAAATCGACTCGTTGATACGTGCGATTAGATTGAGGACAATTTTTTCGGAGGGGTTCATTTCTATGAACAACTAATGGATTACATTGTGCAAAAAAAGAAGGAAGAGTATTTCAATGTCACCAAGATTGTGCGACTATTTTTACCTGGCAAATGTAAACTGGTCGTCTAGACCAGTTTTATGTTCATTCTCAATAAACTATAAATTGAAGACTAATAATATTACCTTCTCAAATTCAGTTTTTGCAAGATTTTAGTAATTTTACTGCAAAAAATGCAAGTTGCACAATCCTATCAACATCGAAATATTCTTGGTTCTTTTTTTCAAAATGTAGTTCAAATCATATTTAAATCCTCATGTTAGATTTTATTTCGTAGGTACCCATTTCCTAGAAAAAAAATCAAGATTCTTACAAGACTCCTTGATGCATCATCCGACGCGGTTCTCTACCCGGCTTTGTCTGATCCTGACCTAACCCACACTAAAAATTAGTCGGCTCTTCGCCTCGACAAAGAGGACTCAATTGGCCCGCTGATACGGTGTAAATTGATCGATGCGAGAAGACGTAATTACGTCATTACGGGGCACAATGACGTGGGGGTCACCGTTTTCTGGGTCCCCTTTTTTGAATGCACCGGATTATCGTCAAACAGTGGTACGCATCAAAAAGTCGATGGATGAGTTAGGTTTCCAGGTTAAACTCCAGATATTTCCTTCGATTTTAATAGTTAGGTTGGTCTGCTCAAAGTGGAGGGCGGTATATTTTTGTAGGAAATGCGTTTTTGTTCAAGTCGGTGCAAATGGAAAATTATGCCATGAATGACGCCATTCGTATTTTTGCCCTTGTATCGATTGTAAACTTTTTTTTTATCTGATTTATGAGTTGACTTTCAGACTTTCCGTTGTCGCGATTCATTTTTTGTCGTGAAATTTAGAAGGGAAAATATATTGCGTACCGCTTCAATTTATGCCTGGCCTGCACAAGAGAAAACGCAACACAAAATTTGGTGAATACAGGAAGTAAATCACAAAATAATCCATGCCCCTAGTGCCTCCGGAGTTTCCCAGTCTCCTATTATCTTCTGCGCTGAATTCACGGCAAATTAAACCAAAATCAACACAAAATTAGGATTGGTTCGTGTTTTTCTTCCTATATTCTAACCAAAAATAACACAAGAACCCAAATATTTTTATCAGTGCGATGGTCTGTTTTAAGAAGATTTCATTCCTTTTTTGATCGGCAGTGCGAAAATCACAACAACATCTATATTTTATAGTATGTTGGAGTTTTTTGCCAACGTGCGTTAAAAATTCAGCATTAAGCTGAAAATCTCAATACAGAGGAAAAAGCTTTATTCAAGCACAGTTTTCCCTCAAAGAGATATGCTTTTTGGTGCAACACCAGTTACGTCCATTCAATTTTTTAACGCACGTTGGCAAAAAACTCCAACACACTGTCTAACGACCCGCGCGTTCACCGCAATCGGTTTACCTATATTTTCATCAGACGCTGTACCAGTGCAAATCAGCTTCATTCCACTGTGTCCATTGAGTCGTTGGTGCCGCACAACACCGCATCGGGTGAATCTTTATTTTCAACGCTGACATTATAACCCGCATTCAGACGAGATATCGGTCGTCTGTCCGGAGTTCCTGGCCAACGCAGTGGTAACAAATCACAACATCAACGGTTGCCGATCTTCCTATGAAACAGGCCAACTTTTGCATAAAATCAATCGGAGGGTTTTTGCGGGAGCAAACTGAAATCCCCGTGGGCGAGCGAGTGGCGTGGCGTGCTTTACGATATATCTATTGATCTGCCATTTAAACCTATGGAAAAGGATCGATAGACAGGGTGTTACAGGGTGAACACCTTAATAATCGATTCTTTACCATAGCCTCAAATGTAGAAATATCGATAGTCGATCATTCACGACTCGCCACTGAGAATGAAAATCTCGGTTGCGGTGTTTCAAAATCCCCGCTCCTATTTTATTCTCAAAAAGGAAAGCAACCCAACGTCATGGCTCGAACGCCTAGAGAAGAATAATCACCGGGGTTTTCAAGAAATTACGTTTAGTAGTTTTCGGTGTAGATGTTAGCGGACAAACCCGATTTCAGGACAAACTAGAATTTCCTAGGACGAACTAGTTTGGCCTAGTTACCGCGGGCCCTACTAGAATTTCCTAGGCCAAACTACTTTATCCTACAGCACGTAGGCGAAACTAGTTTGGGCCTAGGCCAAACTAGTTTTTCCTAAAACACGTAGGCAAAACTAGTTCCGGCTTAGGACGAACTAGTTTGGCGTCAGAAAACTCATATGTAAAGGAAGCTAAGTATTTTGTGATAGCTGAAGAGACGTTTGAAACTTTGATGGCGGCTCATGTGGCAGTAGGGCACGGGGGCAGAGACAGAAAGTTACGAGAAACCTCAAAAAAATATGCGAATATCACTAAAGAAATGATAAATCTTTTTCTGACCATGTGTAAACCATGCTGCTACTATTGACGAAGAATAGCTGCTGATGATCAAACTTAAAAATCAAATATCAAGAATATTTCAAGTAACTCATTAAAATGTACAAAACAATACGGGTAAACTAAAAATTAAAGCAATAAATTTACATTGAAGAATTTAAAATAATCTTCCTATCATTTCCTTACTTTACCCCGTCTAACCATATTGAAAAAAATAAAATCATAACTCGAGATTTTTCCTAAAGTAACGAACTACTCTGGCCTAGGACAAACTAGTTTATACTAAATTGCTCAGGACAAACTAGTTCCGGCCTAGGCCAAACTACTTTATCCTAGGTGCTTAGGCCGAACGAGATTTCTTCCGGCAAACGAGTTTGTCCTAGGAAATTCTAGTTTGTCCTAAAATCGGGTTTGTCCGCTAACATAGACAATAATGAATGACAGGCAATCTGCAATGCCGCAAACTAAGTTACGCATTTCTACAGTTTGACCATAGATATGTGATCGGAACCATACATTTTCGCTTCATATGACGTTATAAACTTATAATAGAATTGAATAGTTTCAGTCAAATTTCAACATTGGAAACTATAAATTGTCGCTTCATATGACATTGTAATCTTATGAAAAAATTAAATTGTTTCAGTCGAATTTAAAACCTTGGAATAGAGATACATTTCTCCGTGTGGAAATCGATGATTTCATGTGGAAGATTGACAAATTGCATATCACATCCCCACTGAGTATTCACGTATATTTTTGGAGACTTGAACGCCATGCAGAGTAAGAAAAAGTGTTTCTCGCCGTAGCGCGGGGATCCCCTTCATTGCGACCTCAACCTTCACTGAACTTGAGGGTTTCTTTCAGAGAAAACCAGTAACATCATCGTCTTTCTCCCGAAGTTTTACAAATAAGAGAAAGTACTCAGATCGTAAGTCCCTGGCTCGTAGATGAGCTCCATTACGCTCACAGCCACGACCAACTTTCCAACCAGTTCGCCTTCAAAACTCGAGCACGCAATTTAAGCGGCTTCGGAGCAGTATTAGTTGCTTGCTGTAGTTTGGCAACGTTCGAAACGTTTATTCGTCTCCGTAACATTCACACATCAATTATTTAGAAAGCTTACAGCGGGGCTTTGTGTTCCAACTAGTTTCAAATTACTTATTCAATCGACTTACACCACGCTGCAGCACAGTGAAAGCCCGAAACATAAAAGAATGAATGCTTTGAAAATCATTTTTGACACGGAACCACTATTATATTTACAAAAAACACATTATATTTTCCAGTAGTACATATTTCTTTTTCATCAGTTTAAAAGGGAAGAATCAATGCAGAGAGTGCAAACATTTCAAAATCATGAGTTGAAAAACGCTGACTCCGCGAGTTTATATATTTGAGCTTAACACAGACGGAGCGGCGTGATGGCAGCGCAGAACGCGCACTGGCGCCTACAAACCTAACGGGATACTTCACGCATTGCGCAACGCGTGAAGTATCCCGTTAGGTTTGTAGGCGCCTATGCGCGTGTCACGCTGGTTGCCTGCCGCGCCGCACAAGTATTTCGTGTCAGAGGCGTTGCACAGTATCCTACAAGATTGAAGGCGCACGAAATAACTAGTTAAAGAGGACTTTCAATTTTGACTGCATCTGTTACTGAAAAATGTTTAATTTGGCATTGGAGCGTTACCTAGGCTCCCGCTTTGGTTTTCATCTATCATATCCGAACAGTGTACACATGAACATATGTTTTTATCTGCTCTTAGAGTCTGTTCTCTTTCATGACTTGATTCATGAATGAAATGTTTTTAAGAATGAAGGTAGTAGTAGAATGCATTTATTTTTGGGGTGGTTCCTGTCATTTAAATTTTGGACATTTTCATGGTTGGACATTAAATCATGTGGACTTAATAAAGACTGGGACATAAATAGCGGTGGACATTTATTTAATGGACAAAAGGTATGTGGACATAAAGTCCTGGAAGCGATTTTTTCTACGCGATCACATCGACAATGTTTCTCAGTTGACCATTGTATTTTACATGATATATGTTCCAATTATTCCCGTGACTCTATTAGAATCATAATTCTTATATTACAATAAAAACACATTAAATAAAAAATAAATGGGTTCACAAAGCTAAGAAAATAGAAAAAACACAACCAGGGCGTTCCGGGCCAATTACATGCTCATTCTCAACTAGAACAAAAGCTAAAAAATTAAAATTAAAACAAGAAAATGAGATGTAACTGACCGAGGTGAGAATCAATGCAAACTGAAAATCAGAGTTAAGATGGACGTCCTGATTGTGTTTTTTTTCTATTTTCTTAGCCCTGTAAACCCATTTGTTTTGTATTTAATGTGTTTTAATCGTTGTGTGCATTCGGGATATTGTCTTTCATCTCTCTCTTTCAGCCCATCTTGGCTCTGTCTTTCAGTTCACACTGATTCCTACCTCGGTCAGTTGCATGCTCAATTTATGTTTTAATTTTTAAATCTTTAGCTTTTGTTCCAGTTGAGAATGGGAACGTAATTGACTCGAAACATCCTGGTTGTGTTTTTTATATTTTCTTAGCTTGTAAACCCATTTGTTAGGTATTTAATGTGTTTTTATCGTTGTGTGCATTCGGGCTATTGTCTTTCATCTCTTCCTTAAATTACTGTAAACAGTTAATTTTTTGAGTTTTGGGCTTGACTCATACATTGAAAATGCGTGAAATATTTTATGCGAGCCTTGGCAACATTACTCACAATTCACGGTGAATTTACAAAAATATGACACCGGTGAGATGAAATTAGAAAGAGAGAAGTGACAAACGGACAATCCGAGTCAAGTGATGAGCGTCCCGGCCTGCATATCATGCACCCTGGAGTGTGATGACATCGCGCACGTAGGAAAACGGGTTTCTGTCAGTCCCGAAATTATTGGAACACTTAAACGTCAACTGTGTTTTATTCATATAGATCGGAGAATAGGTAAGTGTTTTACGCAAAGACAAAATATTGTAAGGACGTTTCTGCTCGCTGTAGACAGGATTTTCTCTCTCGCACAGGAACCCTTTAAGCTTAGCAATAGCAACTCACCAATATTACTATTATGAGTCCCACCAAAGTAACGGCGGCGGTCTAAATAATGTCGCCCAGAAAATGACTAAGACTAATCCCGAAATCTTAGGATTCAAGAGAGACTGTCACTGAAATGTCAGTGAAAAGATTAAGTATTTGTAATTTTTAATTTTCAATGTATTTTTTCAATTAGCAATTGTTTACTGCGCGAACTGTGCAAAATGAATGGATCAGTGGCGCTTCAAAATGACGAAACAGAACCTTACAAAAACTATATCATGCAGGAGACTTGAACGCTGCAGTACAAAAGTAGAGAGCCCATAAAATATCTTGATAAAAGGATTTGGATCCGAAACTTCAATGCTGACTTTATTCTTAAATAAAATATGTCACTGCCGAAACTTTAATTTCTCATAAATATTGTTGCAATGCTCCAAAAGACTCACGACAAGGAAATAGAGTTGCATTTGACCGTCTAAAAGTGCACTATTTTAGCGATTCATACGGCACAGAACTATTTTCTTTTAGAAAGTGAAAAATTAAGCAGACTTTCAGCAAGAACTGTTCCAAATTCTCCACGCCCATACCGGAATTTGTGATAGAAAACATCGACCTTTGAGGCTTACGATGTCCTTTATCTTTCAGACGACTAAACGTAAAAAAAATCGAAGTTGCAAAATTTCCAATTTCAAAACAAGGAGAGACTGCTGCATGAATAATACAGAGAAATAGGCAGGGGGCACCCACTTGAACCTTGTAGATTACGATGCTGAATACTTGGCAAGGCACGCAGTCTTATCGAGGAAAAACCGTGCAACCCAAACAAATACCCTGTATGGATTCGTTGTTTTTGTCAGCACGACAGGGCCAGGACCAAGTTGTTTTCTGCCGTGCTAAGGAAAAACGCCGTATGAACCTTCAAGCATTGCCAAATTTCCTATGAAAAAGTACGCATTTCCTGGTAAAATATAAATATTTTTCTTCCAATTTTTCAGATAATTTTGTTGGCAATTTCCCCTGAAGTTCCTGAAAATTTCAAGGAAAAATATGCATAGCTTTCCTCAAAAATAAACATTCTATCGAAGGAAATTTGGCAACGCTCATTGTTCATACGGCGTTCTTCCTTAGGAAGGCAGTTTTGGAAGAAATAAAAGTCGGAGCCGGAAGAAGATGCAGCGAGGACCAGGGAGCCGGGTTGGGAGCGGGGCTCGGGAGGATTCAGGAACGGGCACAAGTATGGAGGGCCGCATTAGCGTGGTCACGATCGCAGGTTCAATGTCACGGTACGGCCGGAACCCGGCAGGAGCGCTAGTCTCACCTCAGTGTCGGCTCGCAGCTCCACGTGGTTGCATGGGCAAGTGCTAGTGTGCGCACGGTTGTTTGGTGATCCACTCTTCGACAGCTATGTGTGATGGAGCACTATTACCCCGCACCCTCGCGCGCGCATCGACCGGACCCCTCCCCCAGGAATAATCACTACCACTCCAGCTCCCCCTACTATGGGGTTCAGGTACGAAATTTCATTCAAAATTTATCACCAAAATCTTTGGTGGGTTCGACAAAAATGTATCCTTGTACAATTAGCGTTGAGCCGGGTGATCTCCTTCCCCTCCCTTCCAAATTTACTTGGTCCTCTCCATAAAATGTGAGAAGCTTTGCTGGATGTATGCGTGACTTATCTCTTGTCTTTGATCTCAATCAATTTTTGGTGAAAACAGCTTGAAATTTTTCATGCGACGACTTGATTTTTTAAAATTTTCCCGTGAAAGTTCGGGAAAGTTCCCCCGACCCCTTTTGAAGCTCAGAGATTCCCCAAAAATTCTTCTTATGGGGTACTATTCTGAGCCCCTCTCGCGAAAAATCCCTAGTTTTGCCCATATTCCTGTCCGTGATAAAAATTTTAATGGGTATGAGGGATGCATCGGCACTCAAACATTGATGTCCATGTTTGCCAAAATATTTGTCTTCAATGATCGCTTCAGATTCTTTTATTGTTGAATTTGGTTGCGTGTTTTATTCGGAAAAATCGAAGGAGATAAATACCTCTATGAGTCTTATTTTCGTATAGTTGGGGCATTTTTGAAAAACCTTATACTTTTTGGTGCTCCAAACTTACCTAGGCGCATTCTGAAAAATGGATTGATAAATATCAAAATGAGTTGAAGAAGTTGGAAAAAGTTCGTTTTGTTCCAACACACCTCAGTAAGAGAAGAACATCTGTATAAAGGTGGCTTGGATGAGAAGAGAGAGGAAAAGCATAGATTTGCCTATTCTAACACGGAAAAAAGTGTATGGGGTTATCCCTAAACTCGTGGTGCTACCCCAATTAATTGGATGCCATGGGCATTTCCAATTAGTTGGGGTAGTCCTGCAGTTCAAGTTCGGGTAGTGTCACAACATTTGGGATAGAAACCTAATTTATTGGGGTACTACCATAATTAATTGGAAATTTCTTTATCATCCAACAACCCCTACCTCTTTTTTCCATGAATGGTGGCTGGGCTGCCTTCCTAAGGAAGAACGTCATATAAGCCTGCGGACGTTGCGAAAGTTATCATCTTTGATCAAACGACAATTTTTAGGAAAACTTGCGACTATTTTTCCTCAGAATTTTCAAGGAAATTTATTCACAAATCAATCTAAAGTATATTGACGGCGTAAACCTGCAATCACATATCTCGGTTGCGGTGTCTGAAAATCTCCTCAATGTAATTTTTTTAAAGGAGCTGAATAAATTGATATCATTCCTTGAAGTTTTTGCAGAATTTTCTTCGCAGAGAGAAGAAAAATCACGGCAGTTTTAAAGAAGAGTTTAGAATTGTCGTTGATAAGTTTCCCGTTAAAAAAATAAAGTATAACAGGAAGTCTGCGACATCGCAAATCGAGTTATGTGATTGCCGACTCACACCGTCGATATGAAAATTTCAAGGAGGGAAATTCATAACATTTTTCCAAAATGAATGTTTGATCGGGGGAAATTTCGCAACATCCGCACGTCGATACGGCGTTTTTCCTCAAGACGGAAGCGAGGTGGTGGAGCAAAGGCAAAGCCGGTTGACCCACTGCTCGATTTGGAACGTATTAATGGTATTCTGCGCGTACAATAACGCTAATCATATGCAGGGCGGGCTCCGGGCTCCAGGGGAGCTAACTGTGCTTCTTTATCCACTCGCTGCGCAGGGCATGCCCAGTGAATGACCGAAAACTTGAGCGCGTAAATAAACAAAGTCGGCATCAGTATTTCACGGTGGGCTATTTAAATTAGGTAACAGTTCTCCGCCGGTGTAATAACCATAAGCGCGGGTTATCTCTTACCGAGATCATCATGCTCCGATTCTTACACACATGTGCAGCGATCACTTGCCACTGGTAGATCACGGATCGCTTCCTCAAAAAATCGCCTCCACTTCCGGACAAAGCTTTGCGTCAGATCATCGTCTTGAGTTCTTTCTTCTCCTTCTTTATCATCATACTCTCCTTCCATCTCGAATTTATATTTAAACTCCTTCACGAAGGAATATTTGACCCCTACAAACCGAGAAATGTCCATTGCGAGAAACGTTTGGACGCATTTAACGACCATGGCGTGAATATAACGAGGCTGCATGGCTATTCACTTTGGAAACATTGAGCAGCTGTATCGATGGCCAAAATACGACACCACGTATCTGCATTGCGGGTTTCAAAATGTCTGGACCTACTTTATTTCTATTTTTTAGAAAAAGAAAAAAAAATAAAACAAAAAAACAAAAAACAAGACAACTTTATGTCTTGAGAACACACAGTAGGTACATCTTGTTAATAGTGGAGAAAAATCAAGATAGTTTTAAAGAACCTACGTTGACTAGTTTTCCAAAGAAAATGTAAAGTATGACAGCAGGTCGGCAACTCCGCCAACATTGCCGTGCTAAGGAAAAACGCCGTAAGAACATTCGAGAGTTGTCAAATTTCTCTTGATAAAACATGTATACTTGACGACAATCACGCACATTTTTCACTGATATTATATGATATTTTAGATTAAATTGCGTACAAAAAAAAATGTTTAAAAAATTCGGGGAAAAATATTCACAATTTTCTCAGTAAATTCGGATTTTATCAGAGGAAACTTGGCAACACCTGAAGTCTCATACGGCGTTCTTCCTTAGCACGGTAGAACAGAGGTACGTGGTTTTGCACTTAAACAATTGAGATGCATCGAATGACGTGGTCACTAAATCAGTATATTCTGCGCAACTGACGTATTCATGAAAAATCTCCCTTCACCAAAATATCGGGTATTGCGCAGCTTGCAATAAATACAAACTTTAAAAATGACGATTTGTGAGTTTAGTCACTTCTTTCAAGAACGAGGGCTATATGTCCTTTTTTTACTTTTACAGATTTCATTATATTAATTTGGTCGGTAAAAAATCTACTCATAAATACTGTGATTTCAGCATTCATACGAAGACAACTGGAATGTAATTCTAATAGAATCCACGATCAATCTAAATTTTTAAAAAAAAAAAAATGAGGATAAAGTATACACAAATTCACATTCAAATTAACTGCTGGCGCTCCCATTTTAAGTCTTAAGGGAACGATGAAGCTTTTAAATAGGGTTTATGCCTTTTCAAGGTCACGAATAAATTCATTCTAGCCAACTCGAACAATGTCAGCCGAAATCGTGACTCCAAAGCATTCATCCTGCGGGATATTTAAAGAGAAACCGCAGTCCGGATCACAGTGGACACAACACCACTTTTCAGTGACCAAAAGCTAGCATTCAAGAAATTAAATGAAAATTAGAATAGAATGTCGGGTATGGAAAGAATAATCATTGAAATTTCGTAGAATACTAAACTCGTACTTCCATTTTAAAATATAATGTACAAAAGCATACATGGAAACGTGCATTGTGTTTCGAGGCTCCAAGTTATTCTCTTATCTCTAAATTCATATTCCTTATTTCTCTTTTTTTTATTTCTTTTTTCCTCTTTGTAAATGGTAAATGTAGTGGTCATTCATACCAGACTGACATGTTTTAAAAATGAAGGACATGTTGATTGTTGATACGTGCTGAAGTGCATTCAAAGAAAGTCATCAATGGATTAACGAAGAAGGTCGAAAGATAATATGGATTGTCATTACATGTTCTCTCGCATAAAATTCACATGCAAACTAAGTCGAAATGAAAAATTTAAAAGTCAACTTTACAAGGTATTTTTAATTTTTCATTAATTATAGAACTAAGCAACATGAACGGCTAGTTGATGTATCCCTTCCATATGGAAATATAGCATCCTTCGTTAAAAGTAATTTGACATATTGTTGCTGTATATAAATGGTATTTTCAAATTTTCCAAAGAGAAAATATAAAATACCAACTCCTTTCACAGGAATCCACAAAAAAGAGAGGTACTGCTCTATTAAGAAAAAAAATCATTGTGTTCTTTTGTTAAATTAAGTATTTAATCTGATGAGCCTATAACTGGTGATCATTCCGCCTAAGACCTTGGAAATCATATTCATCAAGCTCTTCCTAAGCGGAAAAGTATTTGAACTCTATATTACGTACTCCGTACATAATACTCTTACGTATTATAAAGTATTTTGGTGCACGAACCTCCGTATATTCTGTCATAAGTATTTTATTGGTGGCCTTGTGAGGAAGTCGCAGAGGACTAGTTTTCGAAAGATTTAGATAATTTCGAAGCACATGGATCTTTTTCTTTTTTCCATGTCTGAAGTGTCTAAATAGTGGTCAGCAAAGTTCCTGGGTTGGACCCAATGTGCGAAACAGGGAAATTTAGGCCACGGCAAACAATACCTCTCAAAAGACCACGGCAAGATACACGACTGGGTGCCATCAACCATCTGAATTGGTCAGCTTGCCCGATATTTTCTTATTTTTCTCGGCCACTTTTCCTTCTTCTTCTTCCTCCTCTCCTAATTTGTTTGTGGATTATCGGTGACAATCCGGGGCCTAATTCTGCCATGGGACCGGCGGCGATTTTTGATGGCACGTGAAACGCGATTGGTAACGCTCAGACCCCGCTTCACTGCTGCCGATTCTTTCCCGAATTTTCTCAAACGCGCCTCTACAAAATTAAGATGTCTTCCTGGAAATAGAACTTTTCAAATACGCCCTTGCTTCGTCGGGGGGTACTTAAAGTTGAGACCGCAATGATGTGACCTAAATCCTCGTGGACAATGGAAATGTGAATGCGTATGCGGACCGCGTTGAGGAGAAAGGAACCAAGCCACATCAGATACTGCAAAATTCAACCGAGCAATTTAAAGGTTTACGAGAGAACGTTTGTGCGGATTTTCTTGAAAATTTTAAAGAATTTGCCCCGTACTATGCAGGAGATTCACTAAACGCAAGGAGATCAGCACAATCGTTTCCATGTAAAAACAATTAAATTGTCCCAATAAAATGTGGCAATAGCTAATGTGGCTGGGTTTCTTTCTGCTTAGCACGGTCCTTGTATGCCCCGCTTGCAAAAAAAGAACTAGCGGAATCGG